TGTGCGATGCCAAGATATCAAGCCAAGCAGCCATTGAAGACTATGGCGTGTTCTCAATGAAAGCTTTCAGCCGAGAGCTGTCTTTAGTAGCAATGAAATATGTACCGCCAACATCGGTCCAGCTCACGTTGTTGGACCAGTAATTCTTCTGCTGGACCTTGAGGAGATTGATCGGAGAGTTCAGGTTGCGAGACTGGATTTTGTGCCCAGCGGGAACAAAAGACTTGAGTGAGACAATTTTGCAGCCTTCTTTCATATCCAAAAAGTGGTTGATCAGCTCATTGTTCAATTGTGGGGTGAAAGCTTGGTTGTTGATGAGCACCACATCAGCCCGCTTTAAGACGCTGGTAATACTCTCCTGCTCAAGGAAGTCACCTCGAACAAGATGAGTTTTGCCCGGCGCAATTCCCCACAGCCGGCATCGGGCCTTGAACTCGGATTGCTGCAAATCTGCCAAATCACATGCGTTTGACATCATCTCGCAACCCCAACTCTCACAGCCAACCTCAAGTGCCGCCTGAAGAACGACATTACCTACGCCTGAGCCAAGATCTACAAAGACCTGGCCCGATTTGAGCTTGGTTTCTTTGAAAATTGTGCTGATAAAGCGAGGGAGAAGCTCTCCGTAGACGTTGTCCGTGCCATTCTCGTATTGCCGGAGGGACTCCACTTGTGGGGATACCGTGCGCGAATAAATTTGAGTGAGAATTCTTTCCACCCACGGTAAACCAAGGCTTTGTGTTGCATCCAAATGTTTTGCAAGACTGCCGTTGGTCCTTAACTGCTGGATAGCCTTATTGTAATCATCGACAGCTTCCCGAAATTGGGTCTCGGATTTTACAGCCAGAGCCCGGCGCAATCGACGCTTGATCCCGGTCGTCTCATCGGTGAACTGACCCGCCTCTTCGCTGGGGATATAATTATCGGAGACCGTCTCGATGACCTGGACAATGTCGTCGATGGGTCGGAATTCGTCATTTTCGCGGGGAACCACAGAGTCATATCTGGTCGAGCAATAAATTAGCACATCGGTACCCAGAAATCAACCGTCAAACTAAGTAACGTACCTCTCCTGCTGTGAAGCACTGGGGTATTGCAGGAGAATCTGTTTGGGCTTGCCCTCGGCGCCGAAGGCGGGCTTGAACTTGCCGGCCTTCTGGCCCGACGTTATATCCGCGGCATGTATCATTTTAAACGGGCGAGATCCTTCTTCCGAAAACGCTTTCACCGAGCGGAGACGCCGCTCCGGGTCGGGCTCAGCGCTAGCGCTGGTCCTCGCACGTTTGTGCACTTCAAAGGAGGCCTCGCTATCGCTCACGTCATCATCACTCGACAGTCGTTGTTCGGGCGTCGGCCTTTTTCGAATGCGCGAGGAAGCACTGAGTCGTTTTGCCGGGCGTGCTTCTAAATCACTGGAGACCGATCGAGATTTCAACGCCTGCGCCTTCCGGTTCCTCTCCGTCGAGGGCTGGACTCGAGGTGATCGAGTATCCGAGGGTTGTGTAACCGATCGCGTAGGTGCTGCAGGCCGAGTCTGCACGACCTTGCGAATTTGCGCTTTCTTTGGTTGTAGAGAGAAGGCCCCGGCCCCTCCTTTCTGAAGGTGGTCGAAAAAGCCCATATGGATAGGGATATAGATATACACAAACTGATGCAGAAATGAAATAATGTATGCAAATTATGCAATGAAAAACGAGTCTAAGAATACGAGAAGTAGAATGTGAGTAAGATGAAGGAAGTGGGAGAATCGAAAAGAAAAGAGAAGGGCTTATCGATTAAGGCGCCACTCGGGGGGAAACCACGCGATCCCGCGTCCCTTGGCACTCCTTGGCGCTTTGTATACAGCCTCATCCATGTCTTCTATAAGCGTCTAGTTAGTTAACAAGTTAGTTATATGGCTCTACATATTGTTATATTCATATCGCTATAAAATGATGGAATTTTGAAATTTTGAAAGTTTGACATGTATTTTGAGATTGTACCTATGGAAGAATGAACCCTGGGGTATCATAATTATTTTTGCTATGTAAATTGTCTGATTCAAACATTTCAACTATGAACACTCTCTATTTCTTAGACTTCTTCTTTGCCAGTCTCTTCTCCGCACGAACATCCTTCTTCATACGAGCATCGACAATCTTGTATTTGCCCTTGACACCCTTAGGACGACCAGAGATACCACGATTGGGACCCGTGGCAACCACGAGCTTGACTTCTTGCTTGGGCTTCTTCTTGGTTGCCCTGCTCATCAGTCTTGCGATGGCACCAGCCTTGTCACGCTCGCTGAGAGCATCATCCTCTGCCAGAATCGCTGACTTCTTGCGCAGTTTCTCCAGTCTTTGAGCTGCCTTGTACTTCTTGCGACCCTGGGCCTCCATTACCTTCTTGATCGGGCGTGCATTGATGGCACGCATCTTTTCTCTGATAGCAGCTGCGGCAGCCTTGGTAACGGGCCGGACTGGCTTGCTGTGCTGGCCTTCATCATCGAGGAACCACTCGGGAAGGCCGTCCATGTCGCGGAAGGCAAATCGGTTGAAGCCATCGTCAACAATGTCTGTGGACCTCTTTTCTCCAGTAGCCATTGACTGCGCAAGGGCCATGGCTTCTGCGGTAATGATGTCGATGTCTGTAGGGGAGGAACAAATGTTAGTCAGGACTTTATTCATGTTTGGCATCGTTGCAACTTACCCAGCTGGCCATTCGCTTTTAGTGGGTCTTTTCCTTCGGCCTCTTCTGCCTCGCTCTCATCGGACTCATCGACCCACTCAGAGGTCTTCTTTCCGTTCTTCTTTCCGTTCTTCTTTGCGTCCTTGTTCTCTTTCTTGGGGGCAGGGGTCTTCTCTTCCTCCTCATCTTCATCCATCTCAAAGATGTTGTCGCCTTCTTCCTCTTCCTCCTCGGCCACGTCTTCCTCGGCCTCTTCTTCCTCCTCCTCGCCCTGTTCTAGCCCTTCGAAGATATCTTGATCGAAGAACATGGAGGCGTTGTTTGAGAGTTTCTTAGCCTCAAGTGCTTGATCTGTAGTGGTGGTTTCTCCATCGGAATCCTCCTCCTCTTCTTCTTCTTCATCATCGCTGCCTTTCTCTCTGTCGGAAAAGCCCTCCCACTCGTCAACCTCGTATTGCTTGCGTGTCTTTTTAGCACGCAGCTTCGAATCTTTGTCTTCCATGCGGCCGGTGTACTGTTCGTACATCTGGTCGAGCTCCCTTTCCAGGCGGTCCTCCTCCTCGTCGCTCTCTTCAGTTTCGGACTCATCTTCGTTTTCACTTCCGCTCTCGGCGGGAAGATCACGAGCATTGACAACAGCATCTCTGGCATTCTCCCGGTCGACGCGTCTCAAAGTGAACGTGGAGTCGTCGCCTCCCATACCAAGCTGCTCCATACCAATTTCCATGGGGGTGGTCATGTTCATCTGCATTCGAATGATATCCTTGCGCTTCTTTTCATTCTCCTTGCGCCTTTCCTTCTTGCCCTTGGTGGTCTGCGCCTCTCGCATGCGGATCAAGTCCTCCTGGATCTGCAGTTCTTCGTCCATAGGGGCCACCTCGGCCACTTCTTCTGCCTCGCCTTCTTGGGTTGGCTTCTTTTTGATGACAAGTCCGAACTTCTCGCGACATTTGATGCGCCATCTGAGCAAGTTGCGGAACTCCTTTTTACCTAAGATCTTCAAATCCTCACAGCAAGTTCGGATCTCATCTGTTGTTTCCTCCAGACGGTCTAGTGTGGACAACGCAAGATCTCCACCTGGTGGTTGTTGGAAGCTGAGTTTGTTGTAGCCACCCAGGATAGAGATAGGATCCGTAGTGTTGACGAATTCCATCACTGGGAGCTCCTTGTGTTGGGTGTAGTCTCCTTCTTCGTAACCTTCACGCTTGCGCTTCTTCTTTTCCGGGTTGAAAACCTTCGCCTCGTAGTTGGGAGTGGGAGCGGCAAGTTCAGCAAAGACGTGCTTCGGGTCGAGGAACTTCGGGTCAATGCGCTTGGGGGCCTTGAAGCCGCGGCAAACGACGAAAATTTCGGCGGAAACATTTCGGGACGAAGGAGGCTTGGTTGCCTCAACAGAATTGAACAGCTGCTTGAAAACCCACAGGAGGGGGTTGTAATCCTTGGACCGGAAGACCTTGGTAACGAAGGTTCCGCCCTCGCTCAAGAAATCAGTAGCCAGCCGCAGGGACTCCAAAACCAGTTCTGCCTGAGAGAAAGCATCCTGAACCCACGCGGCACCAACGTTGGGGGCACCGTCGTGAAGCACGACATCTGCTTTCCAGTGCTTGATGTGGGATCGGATCGTTGCGCGACACTTGTCCGTTGTGATATCGCTTTGGAAAGTAATGGCTCGAGGAATTGGTTTGATGGGGGAGAGATCGACACCAATGATAAGACTCTGCGCAGGCATGTACTCTGCAGCGACTTGACACCATGACTACTCGGGCCGTTAGAAAAAGACTTTTGGGATAGAAGGTGGAATTTGCGGATACTCACACCTGGCGCAGCGCAAAGATCGATACAAACTCTGCTTTTCTCCAAGAATCCATACTTCTGGTTCAGTTGGATCAACTTGAACGCGGCACGAGCTCTGTAACCCTTCTCTTTGGCAAGTCGATACCATTTATCCAAACGACCTTTTCCATGCTGCAAATAGTCAGTACATGAAGTGATGCAAGCTGAGATAAAACTGAGCACACCTTTTTCTGGATCGCCATCTTGAAGGATAGCTGATCTCAATAGATCAGAAAATCCTTTTAAAATGACCGGGGAAATAGAACGAATGTATACTTTCTCTATGGAAGAGGATCCGAGAAAAAAAAAGTTGCAATACTTATTGCTCACCGCCTTTGAACTTGTTCTCCGGTTTGTTGCCTGAGGCCAAAGGTCAGTGCCAGACATGTGACGTGATATCACTCAGGCACCCCCCCAAGTCACTTGTGGCGCTTTGTAGATGCTTGGTCACTTGTGCTTGACCGTCTAAACTATAGACCTGATGTTTTTACCCTACCTCCATGACACCCAAGGGATCTCGCAAGAGAGTGAAGACCAGCCCCTCCGGCGTGGACTCACCCGCTGGACTGAGCGGTGATGGCCGAGACCGCCCGTCACGGGGGTACAATGCCGTAAGCTCTTTGTGACCAGAATAGCCAGTCCTTTTGTCATATTTACTGATCACCTATTCTTTCTTCAGAGCTGGTACCCCGGGTCCTGGTCTTCCATTGCGAGAGTGTCTAAAGCTGCCCCAGTTACCGAGGTTGCCTGTGAGAGCATTTCAGCGGCCAAAGCTATAGCATCGAACGTCACAAGCTCATCGACTACTCTTCTTGATACCCCAACAAAGAATCGACATCCTTCCATTCAACTTACGCGAAAAGTGGGTACCTCAACCAGGTCTCTGCCCGCTGACGCTACCACCACTCGAGTCAACATTGCATCGGATGGGTCGGCTTCCACGACGGCTGCCGACGATACCGAAGAATCCAGGGCTGTAAAACCGGCAGCGTCCGATAAAGAAACGCCCGAGGATAGTAATATAAAGCCGCTAGAGGAACCCGCCAAGGAACAGAAGGCCACCCCTAACGCCGACCCCAGCACATTGCATGCGGGATCTGCAGAGGGCACTGAACAATCTAGTGGTTGGCTCTCATGGATCTATGGGCCATCGGCTACGTCTGAAGTTGCTGCGAATGTCCCAGAATCTACACAAGCTGTGGAACATCCGTCAGCTGAAAACCAAATGGCAGAGCGTGGTGCTCAATCAACCATGAAAGACTATACGGCACGGGAAGAAGAACTTGAACCCGAACCAGAGCAGACAAAAGATACTATTGGTACTGCTGAAGTTATCCCCGCATCTCAGAAGCGATCGTGGCTTCAGATGTGGTATGGTACAAACCTACCGAGCAAGCAAGAAGATCCACCATCTACAAAATACATGATCTCCCATTCCACGAATCATAATTCCACTCAGGCTGTCGACACAAACATGGCTCCACAAGATCCCCCAGATGAGCGAACGGAACCAGCTGGTGGATCACAGCCCGCAGTCGGGACTACGAGATCATCTGGCTGGTCATTCTGGTCCAAAGATCCAAACAAAGATGGACCCTCGGACAAACCACAGGAAGGCGAAGCTATTGAGGCGTCAACGGGACCAAACTCGCCATCAAAGCATGCAGTACCTGGCCTAGATACAGATTCAAATACCAAGATAACCCAGAAAGGCAGTATTAAAATCAAACCTCAAAAAGACAACCGTCTCAAAGATGTATCTGGGTCCACCATTGAAGGGACTCCCACGTCTATGCCGCCTGTTGAACCTCGACCAGCTGACACCGCCGCCTCAAAACAATTACAGCAAATTCTCCCCAACCAAGTACTGCCAAAGTTCGAAGAAACCTATCCTTTTGAGCAATCGCCCTCCATCTTGCAAAGCCTCGGTCGACTCCTGCATTATGGGAAAGGACCAGACGCTAGGCATGTCAGCAGGGTCAGAGATCCGCTACACGTGGGACGTGCTTTGGCTATTGGTGTCCATGGATATTTCCCCGCTCCTTTCATTCGGAATTTACTTGGACAGCCCACAGGGACATCCATCCGGTTCTCCAATATGGCAGCAGAAGCTATCCGGAAGTACACCCAGAGTCATGGATACTCGTGTGATGTTGAAAAGATCGCATTGGAAGGAGAAGGCCGCATTACGGAGCGAGTGGATCTTCTGTGGAAGCTGCTTCTGAATTGGATGGAGGAGATCCGCAAGGCTGATTTCGTCATGTTCGCATGTCACAGTCAAGGTGTGCCAGTAACGATTATGCTAGTTGCAAAGTTGATACAATTCGGCTGTCTTGACGCGAAACGAGTCGGCATCTGCGCTATGGCAGGTGTGAACCTCGGCCCATTCCCGGATTATCGCTCTCGATGGATCAGCGGGTCTGCTGGAGAACTGTTCGAGTTTGCACTGCCTTTCAGCAAAGTCTCGAAAGAGTACGAAGCTGCTCTTAAATGTGCTCTCAATTTTGGTGTTCGCATATCTTACATTGGAAGTATCGATGACCAACTCGTTTCACTGGAGGTTAGTAGATACCTCGATATTCAAGTATCCATAAAATCGCTAACTAGCCTGCCAGTCCTCCCTCTTCTCCCCCATAACCCACCCTTACGTCTACCGCGCTGTCTTCGTGGATGGCCGAGTCCATGCCCCAAGCTTGTAAGGGCCCCCACACCCGTCCCAAAGCAACAATGCTAATATGAAAGCTCAGCCTCTCTCATCTAGTTGGCTTCGCCCTCAAGCTTCGCAACCTTGGTATCCCAGACCATGGTCTAATACGCGAACTAAGCACCCCATTAGCAGGAAGTCTATACTCAGGGGAGGGACATTCTCGGCTGTACGACGACGAAGCCGTGTACTTGTATGTACCAGTCATGGATCTTTTTACCCACATTCAAAACTGACATCATCTTCCAGCATGGCTATAGAATTCGCACTCGAGACGTCTTCCGTCCCAGACTCTGCGCTCAGCGTCAAGCGAGCCAGCAGCTCTGTCACGCCAAACCCGTACATTCTCCCTTTCGCCATGCGCGGTCTTCTGGAGGAGGAATATGTGCGCCAAGAGCTGCACGACGAGACTATGGAGTTGCTCAAGCAATTTGATGACTGGAAACCTTCTAGTAAGGTTCTGAAAGATGTGAAGTTTAGACTAGAAGGTATCCGGTCTAAGCTCTAGCTAGGTTTGTTATTGAAGAATTAGAAAGTATCTTGCTTGGATGGAGATTCGATATTAGCGGTTTATTAGATGGAAATAGTTACACGTTTTCTTTTGAAGTACTTGCTGCAAGTTTGTATAGAAGTACAATTACAACATTCATACATAGTGGACACATTCCCTTCTTGGTCTTGGCCGAACTGTGATGGTAGACAGGTTAATATGTATACGAAATGTAACTTCTACCATATTAACCTGCCTACCAACGAAGGTAATGATATTTGTATTATGCCTGAGATATAAAAAAACGCCCCGATTCTGTTGATTGAGCACGGAATAAGAATAGAACCCAATCGCAAAAAGAGAGGAGGGGATCATTAGAAAACTTGCAAATGGCGCCAGAAAGAAAGAACCCCCAATTAAACAGATGCTAATGTGAACGCCGTTTTATATGCACCTTCGATTTCATCTACAACAAAGTTAGCATGGGGACCGCATACCAGAAGGTAGAAAAACCAACCTCTCATCCCATCTAAAGCTTCAAAAGCAAGTGCATAATTCGACACAGTCCCGATAATCCGCTCTAAACCCTGCCGTATTTCCTCAATGAGCTGGCCAGTCGAATCCCCACCATGCTCATTATGCGGACTGCCAGGCGCAAGTTGCTTCGCCACGCGCGCCTTGTAGTAGATCATGAACATAGCATAGCTACTTTGCATCAGACAGCATGCGAAGGAAGGCATGGTCCTAGGCAACGGACGACCCTGCTGCTGCTGTGGATCCAAGAGAGGCTGTGGGACGGGAAGACTGTGGAACATGCGGGAGATGACGAGTGAGGCTTGAAGACAGATTTTCGCGGACTGCTGCGTGCTGTAGGGGAATCCGGCTGCGAATGGATATTGCGAGTACTGGGGTGCGTATGAGTTGATTTCGGAGTGGATATCTGATGAGGTGGAGGAATCGGACGGGGTCATGTATTCTGTTGAAGCTGCTCGTTCGAACGAGTTTAGGTTTGAGCAGGAGCAGGTTACGTTGTTGAGGCCGGCGGGTTTCGTGCTGACGGTTGTGGTGTTGTTGTTTGGGTTTGCTGCTGTCAGGTCGCAATGTCTTTTGATGAAGAGGGGGATGTCTGAGAAGGCTCGGAAGCGGTGCGTTTTGATTTGGGCACTGGGGTCTTTTGTTAGTTTAATCTAGGTATGAGAGGGCGAATGGCTCGAACCTGGATAGTTTGATTCGGGATATTGCGCGTATGCTCTGGGCTGTAATGGATTCGTTGTGATCGCCGAAATCTGATGTTTGGGGTAGAAGAGGGAGTAGCTCCGCCTGTGCAATCACAGAGTGGGTCCAGGCATCGAGTTGCTGCATTCGTTCGAACATATAGTACATCCCCGATTGTGATGCAATGCACTTATTCAGATCACCAATAAATTGGGTTGCTGATACAAGCACTTGTTGAGCTTGTATAAAAATACCCCAGCCCTGAAGACGGATTAGCAGATGGAAGATAACCCAAGGGGTCTTGGAGTTCAAACCTCGGTATCCGACGAAAACGAGGGATATGGAGTCGTGAACTGCGGGTCATTGATAACAATAGCAGGCACCTAGTTCTTTATTAGCTTTAGATCATGTTTGAAGAGCTATGTTACTCACAGTTGTGCTAACAATAGATCCTTGCATCACACAATAATACTGAACGACAATCAGTTTAAGAACCAGGAAATCAAAGAGGGATACAAACCGTCATCCACCAGGCTCTTCGTCGAGCTTCCGAAAATTCATCATTCCCCATTTGAGCATGAAGTGACTTGTCTAAAGCAATGGCAAGAGCTTGACTAGCACGATATCGCATCTTGAGCAAGTTACCGCGTTGAGAGTATTCATAAACTGAAAGCACCAGGAGAGCCAGGAGGCTCTCATAGTCCACCGGAGTATGCGAGTGGAATCTTTCCCGTCTAACAAAAGGTCGTGCGGCAGACAAAGCCTGTCCGGGATCAGTCGCTGATAGATCAAGATCACACTCTGTTTCGACTGTTGAATGAGCGAGTTGGGCAAACGTATGCGCATATTGCCTGCGCTGGAACACAGACGCTGCGGACGACGGCTCAAGATCATTTGGGTGCGGGATCAAAGCCAAGACCGCAGACAGGGCAAGACTCAGAGGCGAACGGGGCCGGTACATCATTGTCGGCTCAGATGTATTCGAACATGGAACAGAGCAGTTCAATGGTCGATCTCGGCACGGTGGTGATGCCCGTGCCGGAAGAATGGGGAAATAGTTATGAATAAAGTCATAATAGGCATTCAATCTGAAGACATTAGACCATATATGGAACTTACTGCAGACGGATACTTACATTTCGGGCTCGCTTCCATAGGTCCTTACAAATGGTTGAGTGCTGTTCAAGGGTGGTGATGCCAAGGGCACTTGCATGTGCGACTGACTGCCATCGCCAGTGAAGAAGCTCTGAAACATGGAGGGAATTTCAGATTGGAAATCTAGATGCCTCAACCCTGCGCCAGGCAGAGAGAGTTCATCGATTTGGTTGAACATCCCCGGTGCTAAAATTTGATTAGTATATCGGTTTCTTTTTTTTTTTTTCTTTTTTTTCGGGCATGAGGACAATTGACGTACGCTCTTCAAACTCCGGGGGTGAAGGGACAGCATTATACAGAGCATCATCTTCCCTCGATTCTTGTTCTGGTGACAGGGAGGACTTCTCCTTCTTTTTGCGTGGTCCCCCTCGTTTGCTGGGTAGATAAGAGCATTCTCTATCTTTGCTAACACACTAAAGTAAATGTCAGTTCGATGCAATGAACATTGATCAACTCAGCCACAATAAATAAGCTCCCAAAAGCACTCAAAGAACAAACAAACGTACGTTGGCGCATGGCATCTGGCCGCCACACCGTGTTCTTGAAGCCCGACTAGGATAATATTAGTGGAGAAGTTCCCTTTTTTTTTTCTTCCACGGGGTTTGCTCACCAAGGCAGACAGGCTACCTTAACTGGCGGTTTAGCAAACTTCTTGCGAATCGATCGAGGCGCTGCCGAGGCCATCCCGTTATAGTCGTGAAAAGTATCGACCATGGTGATACTTAATCTGGGATCAAATAAACTACAAAACCATTAATTTGAAACTGCACCTCCTGGGTGTCTTTGCAACCAAGTACTAGTTGAAATGGGGCATTCTGCGGCGTAATAAGAATCACAAGTCCGAAAGGGCGCTGATATAGAGACTTCCGTGTGATTGCTTGATCTTCGCAAATCCCGAGCCGTGGGGAGGTTCGGGATTTGCTTTTCGCAACTAAGCAAAGAAGGGACCAAGTTCAACCCTAAATTGGAGAGATGGGGTCAGAATGCAGTGTATATGCAGGATAATCGAAAATGATGCTTCTCATTTTATGGTCTTTTTTTTCTTCAACATAAGACCTCGGGAATGAAAAGAGAGAGAGAGAGAGAGGGAACCCTGATATTTCAAGGTTCGGATGTGAACGTATCGATACGACAAATACCCGTATTAATTCACTGTGGCATGGTAGAGACATGTAATTTTACACAGCTGAAATAGTCGATCACGTGGACCCACCGCTATCAAAACTATTTAATATTAAAGATTTAGTTAGTCTATGTACTTTATCGTGAAGGCTGAACAGGATCTGGGATTCAACATGATCTGTCGATCGAAAAGGTCCCGGCGATCTCTTCCAACCAAGATTCGGAAATAATTCGGAGAGGTCATCAAATCATTGATTCATTCTTTTACGGAGTGGATCTTCAACCAATCGCCAAGCAGCTCATGTTATATGTTGTAGGCTACAATAATGATGGAGTAGATATGATTTGGAATACATTTTCATGCGAGGCATTGTCGATCGATGTCAAACTATCCACAGGGGATGTGCACAATCCGATTCGTCATTACAACATCGACTTAAGCATGAGCCTTACCTTTTCCAAGGGGGATCTTAATACCCGCAATATGCCGTACACTCTCCCAGACACTGTCCCGAACTTTCACAGGGAGCTTGTGTCCCTTCAAAAACTGGTCGATCAACCACATTCCGACCACGAATTCCTCACGCACCAAAAGTCCGATATGTTGGTGATCGACTAAATCCCACACTTGCCCCAAAATCGCCTCGGGCAGGCGACTGCGGGACCAGATTTCCCGGACCACCAGATTGAGAACCATATCCGAAGCATTAGGTGGCCATGGCCCGGTTCCATTGGGTTCAGGAGGGATGAGAAGCCCTTTATTAGAAGCCCACACACCTTCGTAACGTTTGCGTTCCTTCTCGGTGACCTCGCGTCGCCAGCGCTTACGGTCGCCCTCGTTGTGTTTGTGGGGGTGTTTGTGCAGGGGGTTTCTGTGTTTTCGGTGGTCGGCATCGGTGGGTTTCGGCATGCCGCGGAGTGTCATCGGCATGCTCTTCGGTGGACTTGGTGTCCTTGATAGATCACTCTTGGATTGGTGTGGCAAATGTAGAATGGATCGTGCCCCTCGTCGCTGGGGAGGAAGCGGTGGGGGAGCCTTGATAGATGGGGATGCTCGTGTTGATGCCAGGGAAGAGGCGATAATAGCATTGGAGAGGGATTCCTCGCTCATGCCAATCGAGTCATCTATTATGCTGGAGGTACTTGTCGTATGTGACTGACTTGATAGAGATACCTCGCTCGGTGTTGAAGGTAGCTTGGGTATTGCGATGGCTCCATGGTTTCTCATAGACCCTCGTGATGGAGGCACACGTGGTGGAAGCCTTGGTCTCATCTCATCTGGCGGTACAGAAGAATTCTGAGACTCAAAGGAGGGATGGGGGCTCGGTTCTCGACCATCCTGATAATTTAGAGTTGATTTGGATTGTTGGGATGGCGAGCGCCCGTATATAGGCAGATCTGAGTCGGATTTTAAGCCATTTTCGTGCAACATGCGATCCAGGGGGAATATCTCTCCCTTGGGTCGAGCGAAGCGGGGTTGGTGCTGGTAGCTGTCGCTTTTCTGGTGAGGGTGGCACTCGACTCGCACTTCGTGCTGCACCTGCGCCAAGTCTGGCGGTTGTCGACGGAACACTGGTATCCCGCCCAGGGGATCTCGACGCAGCGAGCCGTGCCGCAATTTGGGAGGCTGAGGAGAGGGAGGCGGCTGAGGTTCGTCCTCTCACACTTAATGATGTATTGGCTGGAGGCGAAAGTGGTCTGGCCAATCTCCCAATCTTATCCTTTACGGATCCCACTTCGGGGGCATCGGATCCAGTCCTCTGACGACTTAGAGGACGATGATCACTTGCCATTGCAGTAGAAGGTGTACTAGCCCTCACATTGGTAGCCCTCACATTGGGTGAGGGGTCCCTGGAGTGCTGGAATGCAAGCGTGGCGCCTTGTAGAGCGTCATTCCGGGCCACACCCAACCGCTGGTTCGCGGAAGCGGCCTCGCCATTCATGGAATCGATTCCCCGCAAAATTCGGTAAGTATGCGGGTGATGCGAGTTGAAACAAGGATCATATAAAGATAATCAGATCAAGATGACTAGGATGATCCTTTATATGATTTGTTTTCTTTTTCTTTCCTGAGATGTTTAGGGGGAAATATCGACGGGAAATGGCCGTGCACGCGACCGTACACATTTCTTCTACACAAGTATATGTGTACATCTTACGGAGCACACATATAAAATCAAATATCACAATTAAATCTTTTTTTTTTCCAGATGTTATATCTGTATGATTTCACTCTATTTTATAGTTTTCTAATAATTCGATTGTACTTCGTCAACTCCGCACTGTTTACCCCAGACTTTAATTAACCGAGCCGTCATTTATTCATCCGTTCTCCGCTTTGCTTCCTTTTCCCCCTCTTCATCTGCATTTGCAATGTGACTTACATATCAGCTTGGCCTGGGAAAATGTTATCTGCTTCTCTGAAGCACAATCGGAGCCATGTCGGGTAAAGATGATCCCGAGGATTCTCATGTTAGAACAGAACGGAGATCCGAAGTTCGAGATACAGATCAGAATCCAGACGAACTGGTTGCTGGTCACATTCAATGCTCAGTGTGTAGCAGTACCTTCCGACGACCAGAGCATCTGAAACGACATTTGCGGAGTCACACCAAGGAGAAGCCGTTTGAGTGTGCCCAGTGCGGCCGGCATTTTTCAAGAACGTATGCGCGCTTGGGTTATAGCTATCCTTGCGTCCAGAGTCATATGCTAATCAACCCCCAGTGACACCCTCCATCGACATGAATTGAGTCACCATGCACCAGGTACAGGAGGGAAAGATCGCACGCACCGGATTACCGTCAAAACATTCCGGGCGTGCTTTAGTTGCGCAACGGCAAGAGTAAGATGTAGCGGTGGGACGCCATGTGGACGGTGCGACACTCGCTCGCTCGAATGTCAATACCCCACACAAAGGCGGTCTAAAGCAAAAGACATAAAAGATTCAGAGCAGGAAGCCTATGTCCAGAGCGGCAACCTCAAACCCATGCAGCAAGGGTTGAATTCAGCTTCTAGTCAGAGCCAGTTTTCTATACACCTACAAAATGAGCCGGCATCATCCAAATCTTTGCTCAATGCGCCGTCTACGCCCGGCAGTAACATCACAAAACGAATACCACAAAATGCACACGCCATTGCAGATGCCTCCAATCCTCGTTTCTATGTCCCGAATGAGGTACAAGGGCCGTCCAAAACAATGCCACCAGGGGTTTACCCTAGAGACATCAACCAGGCATATAACTCGGGCTCCGACAACCCCAAATTATTCCCCGTTGGTTTATCCAACAACCTAGACTCTGAAGTAAGGGATATCCAGCCGGGAATGACCAACCCAGCAGGTGACATTGAGATGACCATGGCAAGTAATTCGGGGGTACCACTAGAGTTTGATCCCGCGTTCTTTGGCCAATCTATGCTTTCCACCATCAATTGGCTCCCTAGCGAGTTACTTTCTGGCGATCCTCATGGCCACCCGCAGTCCACCGGTGTCAGCTCGCAGTACAGCCAATCTCTCAGCCCAAGTGCCTACTTCTCTCGGACAACATGGCAACCACCGGTCATCGACCCTGGGCAAACCAGTTCTTTGCAACCAGGGCGCGTCTCCCAGACACCCTCTGTGCAAGTTTCTCTAGGAACCAATATGAGAAGCCCTAATCAATATTCCCACGGTATTAGCGAGCCCTCTCCTCATACCGAGTCAGTGGGTTCCGCTAAGGGATCGGCGGACTGCTATGTCGATGGCGCGCCATTCAGACTCCCAAAGTACGGAAATAAACACACTCCTTGGCCCAGCGAATCTATAGAGCCGGTAGATACTCAACTGCTCATTGAAGATGGCGAGCACCGGTTCAACTTCCCTCTCATTTCCGGACTGCGAACAGATCAGATACCGGAAGATATAACCCGGTTCGCACAACGGATTGAAACCTCCACCTACGATGAGATTTATCGGCACTTTGTTCAACTATGCTGCAATGAAACTCCATTTTTTGAGGTGTTCGAATCGGAGAGATTCCCCACCGTGGATGAATGCAATCAGTTCATCGTCTACTTCTTCGATTCATTTCAGGCCGTTTATCCGATAATACATCTTCATAGATTTGATCCAAATACAAGCCATTGGCTTTTGACTTTGTCAATAGTAGCACTTGGCTGCCATATGTCCCAAATTTCCGAGATGGAGAAGTGTACAATTGCTTTCCACGAGCTGATTCGGCGGGGTATCTATCTTGAGGTGAGAAAGGCGTTCCCACCTCATGCATTCGTTTCCAACTAACTGTTTTGCACTGCCAGAAGGAAAAGAGCCACCCTAATCATGCTTCTCTCGAGATATTGCAAGCTATGCTGTTCAACTGCATTGGACTTCTCCATGGTAGGAGCGAGCGGGAAAAGGCCTCGGCCTTGAGCACTTTTGGTGACTTGGTGACACTCATGAAAACCTCCCGGTTATTGACACCGATGCGAACAAAATTCGATGAGGCGTCACAAGATGCAGCTTGGGCATCCTGGATCCAAGATGAGCTCAGGAGACGCACCGGCTATTGTATATGGGTAAGCTTTGTCGAACAATGGAGCCTTTACATTACTGACGATGATAGCTTGTCGATTGTACTCTTGCATATTACTTCGATGATAGACCTCTGCTCTCCCTAGATGACGGTCAAGCTGCGTTGCCCGCGCACGAGAAGCTATGGCAAGCAACATCCGCAGAGGCATGGAAGCCACTGTGGGCGAAATCATCTGGTAACTCATATTCAGACCCAAAAACAGACCAATCTCTAACATCTACAGCCAACGAATCCTTATACGACGCAGTCCATATCCTCTACATTGAGAAGAGGGTAGTACCTGGGATAGGAGAATTCAGTCACATCTTACTCATCCATGCTCTCTACCACCGAATGTGGGAAGTGGGAGACTACTTCCGTCGCCCATTATCCTTCTGGAACCCGACAGCGAAGAAGCAATCATGCGAGACCGCCATCCCCACAGGTTCAGTCTGGCTCCCAGGAATTCCTTCATACTCAAAATGGCGCAACAGCGCATGCGACTGCCTCGACATCCTCCACTGGACCGCCAACAGCACCGTAGCCAAAACCGCCGGCCTTGAGCACCCAACCATCCTTCACCTCCACACCGCACGAATATTACTCCTAGCTCCGTTCCGCGAAATGCGCTCCCTCGCAACCTCCCTAGCAACAGAAGAGCAGCGCTGGAGCAAACGACATCAGTCCCTCGAGTGGCAGTACATCTGGCGCTGGATGAAACACGACCAATACAAAGCCCGACTTTCAATCATCCACGCCGGCGTCACTCTCTGGCATATCCGTCGCTACTCGACGAATGCTTTCCACGAACCCGTCGCGGCATTCATCGCTGTGCTGACGCTGTGGGCGTACGGATCATGTCATCCACATACGTCCCATGAACCCAGTCCGCGTGCAGAGCCGCTCCATGAACTGAGTTTCATTCATCTTGACCGGCCGTGTGATGATGAGCTTGTGCAGCTTTTTGTGAGGGAGGGTCATGCTATGATAGGGAATGTTACTGGTGTTGGTGATATTTGTGGGGCCGAGGGTCCGGAAAGGGTTCTGCGGGTTGGATGTGAGATTCTTTCGGGCCTGGCGGCGTGGAGTGTTTCGAAGAAGTTCGTGGCTATTTTGACGCGGCTAGCGGAATTAAGCTCGTATCATACCTCTTTGGGAGCAGAATAGTCGGCATGATGCTGAGCATGTCCGATCTTAGTGAGGTCTATGGCAAATAAAGACGTTTCTTATTTTGTATATTAGTGTCTGTACCGGTCTCTTTGTCTATTTATATGTATAACCTTGGCTGCCTGCTATGCCACCATCAGACTACATGGCTCAGAATCCTACGTGGAACTTTGCGCTTTCTTGATTGTTCTATCTAATTATGTTTACTTCAGTCACAAGACACACTCCAAACCGACATCTGACATCTCGGGTAATGTGATCTGATAGCGCCTTCACTTCGTCACCATCCGCCTCTCCAAAGTTGACAATAATAAGAGCGTGGTTATGATAGACTCTAACCCGCCCTATCCGCCTGCCTTTCCAGCCACAGTTCTCGATGAACCACGCTGCTGGAACGATGCTAGGCCCATTTTCCTTGGGGAAAATAGGAGGTGCGGGATATTTGCTCTTGATATACTCGCAAGTAAAATCATCGACGGTAGGATTTTGGAAAAAGCTTCCCGCATTACCCAATTCTCTTGGATCGGGCAGTTTGCGTCTGCGAAGTAGATATACTACCTCACTGACAGTCGGTGTGGTAGGTGTGAGGATGCCTCGCTCACTCAAAACTTGTTGAATCGAGCCGTATGTGGTATTCAATCGATGGTGAGGAGCATTGGTAAGTTTTATACAAGTTTTATTGTTACAGTAGAAATGAATAAATCCTTCAGACGCTTGAAAATGCTGTCTCGATAACCAAATTGACATTCGGCCTTCGTCATGGTACGTGTATTGCCATCCACCAGGTTAACAGTTTCCACGCTTTCGAGAACATCACTGAGTTTACGAGGACGTATGGGGTCAAAACCTCTTTTGGGAGGGGTTTATGCCTGAATGCCTTAATTTAGAACGGCAGAAAAGTTAAAATACCTGAATTACGACCTAGGTAGTTATGTAGTATGTAGGCAGGTTGATGTATTAAATAATTTACAGTATACTGTATTAGGGCGGTGTATAAAGCGGTACTAATTCAGGTATCCAGACATCAACACCCTCCCAAAAAGGGGTTTTGACCCCGGGCCCCTATACGTCTTCGTACTGAGTTCCACCCCATAAGCCCCGATATTTTGAATGGGAGCTGCGCCCACAGTGCCGGGAATGAGGGATAAGTTCTCGATGCCACCAAGGTTGTGAGGAAGACAATAGTCAACCAGCGAGCTCCATGTGACGCCTCCGCCGATCTTGACTGATGTATGCATATCGTCTCGAGAAATGGGTTCAATTCCGAGAATCTCGTTCTTCAGAACAACCCCGTCATAGGACCTCTCAACAAAAAGTAGATTACTTCCCCCAGCCAGGATAACGTGGGGATGGGTTTGGAACAATGGTGACTGAACGAGCTCGTTGAGACTGGCATTCTGGATACGGACGACATAGCGTGCAATCACTTGAATCCTGAAAGTGTTGTAGCATTGCAGGCTGATATTTTCCTCCCAGTGAAAGCTTGACATTTCGGGGGTGGCGGTGTGGATTGTTGGTGCAGGGGGTACATACAACATATATATCTTAGTCTTAGATTCCGCTAGGGACGACAAGTCATTTTCAAATCAGTCACGCGGGCCATACAACAACGCTATTTATGTTGTATGTAGGTACATACATGCATATTCTTGACAAGATCTCCAATTACAGCTCACTGTAGAGCGCCATGGCCCACTGTGGCACACCGATCTGGGTTGAGCTTGTTGTACAGAGATCTGCAATCTGCACGGGGCGATTTGATCTTGGAATTTCATTGTGCGATAAATATTCTCCTTTATAGAAGATACCAAGGGAGCAATTTCCCAATCATACCACATGCGATGACAAGCATCATAGCCATCGAAGGCGGCCACGATGTTTCGGGAGATATACATGTATCTGGGTCAAAAAATGCCGGGCTAGCCCTCATGGCCGCATCTTTACTGGCGTCCGGGCAAAGCACACTTGAAGGGATCCCGCCTGTGTCTGATATTGACAGCTTGGGTCGGATTTGTCAATACTTGGGCGCGAATATCATACACACGTCTGATTCCTTGCAGATTGATACAATGAATCTAGGCAGTCTAAATGTCCCAGACCGGCTCACGCGATCATTACGCGCTTCAATTTTGACATTGGGTCCCCTCATTGCGCGTTTCGGGTTTGCAAAGATATGTCTCCCGGGGGGGTGTTCGATCGGAACACGGCCAATCGAGGAACATCTGAGAGGATTGGAGAAAATGGGAGCTTGTATCAAAGTCACGGAGGGGTCTATTGAGGCTTATGCTCCTTCGGGATTACATGGGGCCACCATTTATATGCAGACCCCATCCGTGACAGGAACGATGAACTTGATGATGGCAGCATGTCAAGCCTCCGGAGTGACGTATATCTACAATTCAGCCCGTGAACCCGAGGTGACAGATCTGGCTCACTGCCTCATCAGCATGGGTGCGATGATACAAGAAGGAGTGGGATCCGATCCTATCACCATTTTCGGCTCTGATAAGCCCCTCCTCCCCTACCGATACAGAGTCATGGAAGACCGAATCGAGGCAGGAACATTTCTGATTCTCGGAGCAATGGCTGGAAATCCTCTCGCAGTGCATGGATGTACTTCTAAATACCAGACCGCATTGATAGAAAAACTGCGTGCAATCGGTGCTCAGATCGACATCAGGAAAAGTTCGGTAATTGTCCGCAAGGCTATATGTCCCGTAGCCGTGGACATCCAGACGGGCCCATATCCTGCCTATCCAACAGACCTCCAACCGCAATTCATGGCATTACTCTCGATCGCGCGGGGCACGTCCCGGATCACTGAGATGGTCTTCGAGGATCGCTTCAATCAATCTGCTGGACTGATCGCCATGGGAGCGGCTATATGCGTTGACGGGGAGGACGCTGTGATATCGGGTGTGGGAGGGCTATCTGGGAGCATGGTAACTGCTACAGATTTACGGGCTGGTGCTAGTCTAGTTATCGCAGCCATCGTCGCCAAGGGGATCACTGTTATTTCAGGTGCTCAGCATATCGACCGGGGGTATTATGGGCTACAGAGAAAGTTGGAGAAAATCGGCGTGATTATGACGCAGTCTCATGGTTTTGATGAAGGAGCCGGGAAAGTAGACATTCGGATGGCGGTTCATGCTCTCTGCTCAAGGGCGTAACATCGTGGACGACTTTTCACATCGTTGTCAGAGGGTTCAGTGGTAGCTAGTTATATAGTACCATTTACATACCCTACAAGCTTTACCTTGTTACCTTGTTACCTTGCAACTATGTCATTCGATGCAACTCAGTTCATTCATACCAACTGCCTCCCTTAGGGATTCGCTAAGCCCTACAGAAGACGGGATGTCATCGTTTCATGTGAAGTTCAAGCTAATAAGTAAGTGTTCTACAATAAGTATAGCTGGTCGGAGGAAAAATAAGTGGGGTCATCCCTTATCTTATCAGCAGTGCAGCCTAATCATCTGGGGTAGTTCAACTTACAACTTTTGTTTCTTAACTTCCCCAAACATGGATTCCGACGAGATTCCGGGGCAGGATCTGCTGAAGCCAGAGAAAGAAGAAGAACTAGACGAAAAGTGAGCCCTTAACTAATTACAGTGAGGTTTTGGGTAGACCACTGATAGTAGCTGGCAGATACCCCAACAGACCTCACAACTGGGCCCCGACATTGCCATTCCACGATCTGTATCTCAACCTATTCAATCCACTAAGTGAGCTTAAAAAGAAGCCGCCAGGGCCTGCTCTAGCTCGCCGAAAAGTTGGCCCTCACGGAAAAGGTGCTACGAGTCTCAACCCGTTCGAGCGCCGGCGCGATGTGATTGAGCGCTTCATTTCGCGTTGGCGCAAGGATGTCGGCGACGACATTTACCCCGCCCTTCGACTGATTCTTCCCGATAAAGATCGTGATCGACCTATGTACGGGATTAAGGAGAAGGCCATCGGGAAGATGCTTGTCAAGATCATGAAGATCAACAAAGAATCAGAAGATGGATACAATCTTATGAATTGGAAGCTTCCAGGCCAGGGTGCTACCACACGTATGGCTGGTGACTTTGCTGGAAGATGCTTTGATGTTCTCTCGAAGCGGCCTATGCGGACCGAGCCGGGTGATATGACCATCGACGAGGTCAATGAGAAGCTGGATAAGCTATCGGCTGCCTCGAAGGAGGATGAACAGCTTCCAATATTGACGGAGTTCTACCGGCGGATGAACCCCGAAGAGCTTCTGTGGCTCATCCGCATTATACTTCGGCAGATGAAGGTTGGTGCTACCGAACGAACACTCTTTGATGTTTGGCATCCCGATGCCGAGAATCTTTACAGCATCTCTAGTAGTCTGAGACGTGTTTGCTGGGAACTGCATGATCCCAATATCCGGCTTGAGGGAGAGGAGCGCGGTGTCGCGTTGATGCAATGCTTCCAGCCGCAGCTAGCCCAATTCCAGATGCACTCATTCGAGAAAATCATTGCCCGTATGAAACCAACAGAAGATGACAATGTGTTTTGGATTGAGGAGAAAATGGATGGTGAGCGTATGCAACTCCACATGGCGCCTGACGATTCAACCAAAGGCGGTCGGAAATTTGGCTTCTGGTCGCGCAAAGCGAAAGAATATACCTATCTGTATGGAAACGGGATTTATGATGAGAACGGTGCTCTGACAAGGCATCTAAAAGATGCTTTTGCGGATGGAGTACAGAGTATTATTCTCGACGGCGAAATGATCACCTGGGATCCTGAACAGGACGCCATGGTTCCCTTTGGCACTCTCAAAACCGCGGCGCTGGCGGAACAACGTAATCCTTTCTCAAATGGCCCGCGGCCCTTGTTCCGTGTGTTCGATATCTTACATCTGAATGGACGCGATCTAACGAAGTATACCCTCCGTGATCGCCGCAATGCCCTGGAGAAAACCGTCCGACCTGTCCATCGTCGGTTTGAAATTCACTCTTACGAGGAAGCCACTACCACCACAGAAGTTGAATCAGCTCTGCGGAAGGTCATTGCTGAAGCATCAGAAGGTCTTGTATTGAAGAACCCGCGCTCTCCATATCGACTGAACGAACGCCACGATGACTGGATGAAAGTCAAACCAGATTATATGACCGAATTTGGAGAATCACTTGACGTTGTTGTGATTGGCGGATACTATGGCTCTGGCCATCGAGGAGGTGCGCTGTCCAGTTTCCTCTGTGGACTACGTGTCGACGACAGCACACAAGCAGCGGAGAAATGCTGGTCCTTTTGTAAGGTCGGTGGCGGGTTTACTGCTGCTGACTACCAGGAGGTCCGCCACCATACAGATGGCAAGTGGAAGGTGTGGGATGCAAAAAAGCCACCGACTACTTTTATCGAGCTGGCGGGTGGAGACGCCCAGCATGAGCGTCCAGATATGTGGATCAAACCATCTGACTCGATTGTTCTGTGTGTGAAAGCTGCATCTGTCGCAATCAGTGATCAATTCCGCATGGGATTGACGTTGCGCTTTCCTCGCTTCAAGAAATTGCGCAAGGACAAAGACTGGAAAAGTGCGCTCTCAATTCAGGAGTTCCTTGACCTGAAGTCCAATGCAGAGCAGGAACATCGGGAGAAAGATTTCTCTGTCGACAACTCTCGTAAGAAGCGAGTGAAGAGGACCACCAAGAAACCGCTCACGGTTGCTGGATATGACGAGAATGTCGATGCCCAGTATCTTGGGCCTTCTGGGCATGTATTTGATGAGCTTAACTTCTGTATGTGGCTTGATGGTGTTCCCTTCCTGTCATACCGAATACTAACATGATGGCTTTCCAGTCATAATGACCGAGTCGACCATCCCAGAAAAGAAGACAAAACTTCAACTGGAACAACTCGTGAAGGCTAATGGTGGCAAGATCTATCAAACCAGGACGGCCGCGGTAGACACGCTCTGTGTTGCCGAGCGGAGTAAGCTTCATTTTGCACAAATAAAATAAGCACAAGCTAATGTTTTGACAGGAACGGTCAAAGTAGCTTCGTTACAAAAGAGTGGAGAGCAAAACATCATTCGACCATCTTGGCTTATCGACTGCGTCAAACAGAATGAAGTAGATGCAGGTCTGCCTGATCTTCTCCTCCCGTTCGAGCCACGGTAAGTTTTGACAGCTAAAAGAAATGCATCCATGTGGAGTTAATATTCATCAACCTCTATAGACACATGTTTTTCATGACAGAGGACAAAGAGGAAGAAGTTACAGCAAACGTCGACAAATTCATGGATAGCTATGCCCGTGATACAACCGTCGACGAGCTCAAGGATGTATGGCACCTCCAGAGAAATAGCGAGAAACAACCACGACTTTGGCTAACATTTATTCGACCTTGCAGATATTCAAGCAAATGGAACAAAACCAAGAACAGCCCGACCATGCCCCGGACCCGGAAACCATTCAGAGGGTCGAGGCTCGCATCCAGGAAAAGGTAAACGCTGGTTACACAGTACCCTGTGGATGGCTTTTCCGAGGCTTGAAGCTCTACTTCTACTCAAATGGGGATCAGCCGGACGAACCAGCCTTCCGAGAACTGAGAAAGGAGGACCAACGCCTCCAGTTCGCTCGCAACACAGCCCGGTTCGCAGGCGCCGAGATTGCCAGCTCATTAAAGAGCTCGGGCACCACACATGTGATAGTTGATCCGGAGACTTTGTCTTCAGCGGACATATCATCTCTCCGGAAATCTCTGACCGAGAAGCCGGGTGCAAAAATGCCGCATCTTGTTAGCGTCGGCTGGGTGGAAGAATGCTGGAAAAATGGCACTTTGCTAGATGAAGAGAGTAAGTTGTAACATGCTTTCCGTCTTTTTGGCCTTTCGGAACTTTCTAACATGTGTTCTGGTGGTAGGATTCCCAGCTCCGCGATGAACCGTGAGAGCTGAGTTCGATCGCGTAATGAATCATGCCTTCCTTTCATTTTTTTCAATATCCTCTTTTTGGTCGCCGGACATTTCCATGTCTATTCAAAGTGAGCCAGTCGAAATCAACAATAAGTTACAATAAGTCACATTATCTGACTTTGCTTTGGCCAGCCAGCGAGGCTATATCAAACTGGAGAAATACCGGCGTAGTCGAAATGACCTACCTCTTAAACCAATAACCCATTTTTTTTGAGTAGAAACGCCGTATCATTGTAACCTTGCAGCTATTATGATGGCTAAAGAGCCCAATATTAAATGACCGAGGCTCATCGGGCCACGCGTGATCTCATGTCATGGCCACGTGGGATGCATGATGATGTCACAATACGGAATGTCCAACCTTCCAAGGTTGGAAAGTCAATCTAAGATTACATAAACAAGAGTTTATGTTGTACAAGGTACTCGAGTAGGATCTACCCAGTATGCTCCCAAGGCAGTCTTTTTGGCGTATTTTCTGGTCTTATAACTAGAACGACGAACAATAACTACATGAAGCAAGCACGTCCTACATAAGAAAATGAGAGTTAGATCAATGGCTAACATCAGTCTCAAAACTCCAGGGCTAGTTGCACGCATACTTTCGTGAACCCTAATTGCCAAGACGCGCTAGTCTATAATGGGATTTCCCCATAACTAGTTAGTACACAGTACATACATGTATGTATCGTAGGGCCTGTATTATGTATTCTACAGATGCTATGCTTCCACTCCTTACGTCGTCGTTGCTGAGTTGCACTTTTTCGTGTTACCGCCAAGGTACTCGCTGCGGGGGGCATCTTGAGATGAGGAAACATCAAATGTATAACACAAAATAGAGCTTCCTATCTGGAGGCCAATCCCATCTCCGTGAACAGTCCAACGATCTCAGTCACGAGGCTATTCTCGAGTCGAAAAGGTTCGGCTTCTTGAATACCAACGGGTCCAACACCATTCACGATGTCAAGCATACTCGTGATAAATGACGCAAATACTTCTTGAGCACACGTTGACACAAGCGAACCGTTTATCGGAGCGGACCAAAGGCTGGATGTCTCAGAGCCTGGACTCTGCGACAACTGCGCAACTTTCCAACCAGAAAAGCGAACCCGTGGTGGGCTTCCGGGCTGCGCAGCTGACGAAAATATCATGATGTACTTCACATCCTTTTCGCCCGTCTTTGTCCACATATTACGCGTCTCCACTGTGAGCGGGTGTATGGTGAAGATTGTATTCAGTGATAATGTTGATGTCATCACCAAGCCATATTCACAGGTCTGGTTTCCTGGCCTGGTCAGTTGGGACGATCCGCCGTGCCTGAATATCATCAGCTGTGGATCTCTTGAGACCAGTCACTGTGTCTTCGGTTTCTACTGCTGGATCAGACTTCAGCGACCAGACCCACAGTCCTAGTATCCCTGAAATCGTGATCAGGATCGTGAACAACCTCTAGAATCTTTGGACGGCCGAAGACGCGCGCAATGCCACCACTGTTGTAGAGCTCACACACGTCCCGACTCGTAGAGGAGCACAGTTCAGCCTCTGCGTTTCCCGCTCCTTCTTGAGCTCTGCCGATAAAGGCAGGTAGCGAGGGGGTCCCCACACACACGAATTGCAGAGACGACCGCTGTGAGGATGTTCATTGGCGCCATTGCGAAAATGAAATAATCAATTGCAGTAATGCTCTCGCTGAGGTACTGCTTCGTTATCTGTCCACCGAAGAGGGATAGAAACGGCGCGAGATCGGTTGCAAGATTGTTCGAAAAGTCGTCCCAGCCATCTGCGCGAACAAGTGGAAGAGCGATGAGGATCGTGAGAAGAGTTCTTGCGGACATCTCAGAAGATGCGCGCGACGAGGATTACGAAAAGAATATATACGGGCCTTTCAGTGAATGTGCGCAACGAGAATGTGGACATCTCAGTAAGTGCAGGACAAGGCCTTGGACAGATCGACACCGCCGGGCTGTAAAATATTAAGTGCTCATCCAGCCATGTCTTAATAAGACATGGGGCTGAAAACCACCAGCTTGGTGCTGCCAAGAATATCTAGTGCTCGTTGAATTTCCCAAGCGCGCTTGACGATGCATTTCAATTCGCCGCACTCTTCTCGATGCCATACTTCTCTGCACTTCTCTGGTTTCAATAGTTATCTGCATACTGGTACATGTTGATACCCGACGTGTCCGCGATACGTACCTGGGCACAGCCCAGTATGATACGGATTGTTCTAGCCAATACATGTTGGCTTAGACTAAGAAAAAGTCGGGGCTGGTCGGCTGACAGGCCGAATGTGATGATGAGCAGGGTCACGAGTAACTATATAAGCAAGCAAGGTATGTCTAGGTGTGTCGCCCAAGTGTAAGTCATTATCCGTCCTAGTATCGGCTATAGTTAATTCAGAGGAGGCCCCAGATTATCACTTGGCTACGCTTGCCATTTCTCCAGCTCCTCATGTTTGACTTGTTTGCATTATTACCCCTTACAGTGACGATACATGGAGTCGTGACCTTGAATGTAAGATACCGTACGGAGAACAAAGGATATTACAGGCATACCAATAGTCCGAATCTAGTCCTAATATGGTATAGTATATTTAGCATTAGGGTTCGAAAAACAATCGAGAAGATCGACTTTCCCATATATTAGCCACGAGACAAAAGAAACTTGATGTGTTCAAGATTTGATATGAGTTGAATAGATATCTTAGGTAGTGATCGAAAGATCGATCCGAAAATAAAAAAAAAAAAAAAAGCAGCCATAGAAAAAGCATAGCGCTGTCAAGCTAGAAATGGGGGTATGTAACAAGAGAGAGAAAATATGTCACGCCGAGCAGGAAACCGTCCTAATCCAACGCCTTGCTTGCAGAGGATAACCAAAGATAAAAGCAAAAGTAAACAAAAATTTATGTACTGAAGTGAAGTGACCAAAAAGGGAAATGTATCGTGCCATATCTTGCGCTCTGCGCTAAGACAGGCATCCACCAAAATCTTTATTTCACTGGGCTGAGGCGCCCACCCACCGGGACGGAACGGCGTTATCATCTCGATCATCGTATTGTCCCGATAAGTGGCAATTGGTCTTGCGCGCTGGCAGCCAGATTCTCGCACGGGCGGGGACGTCGTCGCGGAGTTTGCCACTTCGTCGCATGTTCATTTCAAGAACGACCACGCGCAAGAAATCGCTGTTCTCCCGAATTTCACGCTGGCGTGACATGGATGGGACTTCCGGGTCAAAGGTGATGTATTTCTGGTCCTTGCTCGCGATGTGGAAATGGTTTCGCCGGTTCCCACGGCCGCCGGCTCGACGATATGTCTGCATTTGGATCGAAACGGGGCACGTATTGGAGGTTTGTGGCTTGTCGTGGGGATGATCATGATAGACATACATCTCTGCCGGTGACATCGGCGTTGGGTTCATGGGAGATGGATTCAAGTAGCGTCGTAGTGCTGGAGAAGGTGTTTCTTGCATCGGCAAAGGACGGCGATCATCGGTCATCTCTGGTGTGATGGTGAAGAGAGACCGGGTGAGGAAATCCTCTGGTTGAACGGAAGGTGTGGCAAAGGTCGAGACTGACTGGGCAGCGGATTTGATGGCCCGTAACGATGCTGTGAGGTTCGACTTGAAAGTAGATCCGAGGCGCCCGAATGATGCAGCTCGCTTTGCGGGTACTGTGTCGGGTGTGGTGGGCTCATTGTCGTTCTTGATTTCGATGAATTCACATTCATCGAGTTCGGTTACAAGCAGAGGATGGTCCAAAGCACACTCCTCGCAATTCGAATACCGAGGCTGTCGTCTCTCCGTTGGACTTCGATGGCTAGAAGGGCTTGGCGGCGAGAGAAGACTGGAGGGTGATGCCAGGTTATGATCTAATGACGGTGTCGAATCACTTGATGTTGACCTCACTGAAAGTGGTGATTCGTGCTCGGAATCATTGCAAGGCAGGTGTTTCTCGTTATCGTTATCGTTATCGGGCGGGCTGAGAAGGATGTCGAGAGGCGAGTAGGCGGTCCCATCCAGGAAACTATCTTCTTTCGACTTGATGTCTTCCTGCAACATGCGCCTAAAGTCCTCTTCATGATTTCCGCGAGGTAATTTCCGAGGTCTGCGAGTGGTCCAGTTTCGTCGCGGGACGGGAATGGCCGTTGCATCTAACATCGAGGTGAATGACGTAGGAACAGGGCGGTCATTGGACGAGCTAGAGGACCGGCGAGAGGATTCCGAGGTTTTGGATAAGGTACGTGGACGAGTATCTCGACGTGCTGACAGAGTCCGCGATCCACGCTTTGGAGGAATTACCACTGGGATAGTGTTCATTGATCCGCAGGTCTCAGCGGGAGTGGGGGGACGAAGACCAGAACGATCCGCTGGGGTGAATGGCTCCGTCCCATGAGACTGAAGTGGTTTCGGCGGCGCCGAGCTGAATAGAAATGCTCTTGGGACCATCATGTTGAGAGTTGTTTTACCACACGAGCACAGTTGCTACCGAGGCCTTGACCGGATGAAGCGCTCTGGTCGAGTGTCTGAGCGAGATACATGAAGGGGAAAATTGTGGGAAGGGAGAAGCTCCCAAGAAGTCAGATGAGAGAGGACCGGCAACCAATCCGAGGATGTATGTGTTGGTCCAAAGAAATGCCAGGAAAGCAGATAGGGCCGTGAGACAAGGGTATGCAGGCACGCACGCGAGCGGATAAGGTTACAGAGAAGGGCGATAAGGTAGAAAATAAATTTAGGAGGATGGATAGTAGGTAGACGAGTATTAAAGGATCAGAAAAGAGGATAATAGGAAGAGAAAGAGACATAGAAGTCAATTAAGATAGAAAGTGAGAGAGATTATAATGGGGGAGAAAGTAGTGATCTCAGATAGATAAGCCGTATTGGGCAGGTAAACGCATGTAAAGATCACGGGAGGTGTAGGACAGTAATTTATTTTACGTTGTAGTTGATTGGTTGTACGGGGGACAATGCCGGGATCCGGACTGTGTTCGGTGATTGAAACGGTATTTCTGTACTCCCTCAATACCATTCAAATGTTACCATTACTCATGGAACATTCCGCCGGTGGAGTCCGGAAGGAAATATTTTTCTTTATATTTTTAGTTAATTTTATTATTTTTTATGACAGATAGTATATCACTACTTACAATATACAAGATATATACCCTTACAACGTATGATTAGCTCAATGTAGTAAGACATACATATATATCCCGTATATATATATGCAGTATAGATAGATATGTATGAAAACAAATCTCAGCCATCTCAACCTTTCAGATCAGTTGTTGAATAAGATATGTGGGCCGTTTAAGGTTGCTTTTAGTGCGGTGCGGGCTGATGCACACCGTTCTCCCCAGAACTAAGACTGCAAAAAAAAAAAAAAAGGAAGATCGATTTTCACCTTTTTATAGTTTGGACTGATCTTGTTAATGTGCTTATATTTTACGGGAAAAGAAATGATAAACATAAATCATATATAGTTGTATCTGAGTCACTTTTGATAGATCCGCAGGAGCTCCGAGGCTCACTCCGGTTCCTTCAGATTTTAAGGGGAAAAATAGAAAAATATTAAAAAAAGGAGCGGGTGGCTGCAGTGTCCCAAAATGTCAAGTCAAGGAGACCCTACGTGGCTAGTGGACCGCCTTTAGCGAAAATAATTGCATTAATAATTGCGGTGAAGCCCCCTATTTTCTTGGGGATTTCCTTTTCCCTATTTTCTTCCTTATATTGGTGGCTTGTAATCATGGCTTAATAATTATATTTCGACTCATCGCACTTCCCGGTTTGGATCTTTGCTTCCGACACACTCCGTAAACAATTGCCTATTTTAATAATATTCGATGTCAACTGTGTTATACATGCAAATATCGAGATAACTACAACATACGGAGTACCTAGGTAGGTCTTGAAAATCAAAACAACCTTGAGACCCACCTACATTGTTACCTAAACATCCAATTTGACAGAATTTCAATAGATCTGAATTACAAACAAACATCAAAAATATCCACAATCCCAAAAAGCAAAGTTAAGACGTGGCTGGTGGAGCGCCTTTAGCGAGGGTAATTGCGGTGAACCCTTATACGAGGTATAGATGTACAACATATACCATGTTGTTTTTTTGTCTTATTGTGAGGTTAGGCAGTCATACATGGATGGTTTAATTGATTTGGCCTTATCTATTCGGTCACGTACTTGATTTCCTCTGCCACTTCTTGGCGTTCCTGTTGAAGCGATCACGTGACTGGCATGTGAATGGCCACGCGATCACACTTTCCCAGGACTTCTATAGTTAGCTAGCATTCTGTTAGAGAGTCTACAGATATGTAGGGTCTGCAACGTGAGGAGGGAGAGAGAAGGAAACTGTTCGTTATCTACCATTGAGAGGTTGATGCCTGAGGCACCAAATGTGGGCCTAAGGCCACCACAACACGTACTACAACAAGCCTCGATGGGGCCTCACTATAGTTCCTCATTGTTTTTACGCTTGAGGTATGTCCGCAAGGTGAAATTTTCACAGTTACGGAGTAAATAGTTCGAACTATCAAGCACCGGATCAAAATGAAGGAAATTAATCCCTCATGCTAACACGGAGGAGAGCCTTGGCTACGCCCAGTAGTAATTGAGTACGGGGATATCGGATGATAGAAGAAATTTTAGTAGAAGTAACAGAAAACGAGATCGCACCCTGCGAGAAAGATTTGTGAAGTACAATGGGGGCCTTCCATTTCAATCGGAGCCCTCTCTGGCTTTTTGGCGATCCGAACGAAGCCCTACGAAACATCTGTCATCACTGTCATGAACTCTCTGAATGATGATCGAGTACGTCCTCATATGGTTGAAACTTCAAATGAAGTACGCCGGGAGTTTGGCCTAGTAGACCAGAAGTGGGTCGCCGATGGAAATGAGGCAGTCTATGTCCAATATTGGTTGGATCAATGGTTCCCAAACCGGCTTCAGCATATTGGAACAACAAATATCAACCGGGCCACGGGCCAGATAGCTGACATGACGGGATCCAATGTCACACCTACTATCGAGGCTCAAGTCGGATGTAAAGATTGACACGGATGATCTGGACTGAAGCTGAGTAGGTAACCATGTGAATTGATAGATATATATATCTAGTCCATACAAGATGCCTTTTACATTTTGCTTGAAGGGCAATGAGATTTGATGACAAAACAATTTCGGTCGCAGAACCGACAATATGCAGCTATTGAACTTGGGTCTAGTTAGTTATTGTAGTATTTAAGTCCCACAAATTTATAAAACATCAGTACCGTCGGGTCTCATCGAATATCTGTCCTTCATATAAGCCATGTCCTGCATATCCGACCACACCTCGAACAACGAGGGCAGGGAACACTTCATCCACCCTGGAAATGACTCATATGGATCTACCTCCAACGCCTCGACGAGTTTCACATAATGACGTCTCTCCTGTTCGTATTTCGAGTCCTCTGGAAGGGGAGCGTTTTGTAACGTTTGAAAACTTTCTTCGTCAATAACAATAAACATGCGATAGCCAGGAAACATATCGAGCACATCACGCTTAGTTGCCTCGGCCCTAAAATGCTCGCGGAGCTGGTCTATCGATGCTCCGTCGAACTGGGAAGCATCTTCAATGACCCGTGGCTGGTAATTGGGCCAGATTTCATCCCAGGGAGCGATTTTGAACTTATTTGCCCTGGAGTTGTACTGACGGGAAGATTCGTAATAATTGTAGAATTCGTCTTTCATGTACTTCGTGGTGAGGTCGACCATACGCGGGAAAGCGGCATTGGATTGGGGAGTATAGGTCGTCCGGTAGATGGTGTAGCCCCAGGTGGGCTCAGAGTAATGGAGCCATTCATAGATGTTACGAATAGAACCTGGAAGCCAGTGGCATTGCTTCATCGGCTTTCGAAGTAGCGACATGTTAGGTCGACTTTGGATGTTGTGGTTTAGATGGGAGTTGTGGACGGAGAAAAGTCCAGCCTCATTGGAACCTTAGAAGGACCGCTTTATAGTCCCCCTCAGGGTTGTGAGCAGGTTTATATCAAATTTTCTATCCCCCCTTACAATACCCTACCCTACTTGTACTGGTCCCTGGTCAATCCAGTGTCTCCAGCATAAATTATCGTTAGCTCCTGGGCATCATTCCCACATATCTTGGCATGTTCGCATTCGAATTAGGGCCATGGACCGTCCCTTTTCTCGTCGTTAGTATCGGCATGACCGACCGGATACTTCTCAACCCCTATCTGTGCACCCAATCCGGTACAAGCATATCTAGTAAATCTCCACCCCGGAACCTGCGCCTGGAACATCTCATCGATATTTTTCAGCGACCTCCCTTTCGTCCTAGTTACAAAAAACCACACAAAACCCAGCGCCGCAACCGAGAACGCCCCATAGATAAACGTCACAGGGCCACCGATACTAACCTGCACATAGGGGTTGACAAATTTGATCGGAACGGACGTCAAGAAGCTACCCATAGAAGCGAGAAAGATGGTACGCTCATGCAACTGACCCGTTCCTACTTCACCGGTGACGATCCAGCATCCTGGTCCCCAAGTAAAGCCGTAAATGCAGTACCAAAGAATCAAAAAGGCTGCACAAGCATTCTTGGCTTGTAGGGATAGGTTGGCTACAATGCTACTTTATTCGACAGCACCATCCGTTGATATCATTGTCGCTGCTAGTCCGATCGAGCCGAGAATCAGTGACCAACGAGTTGATCGAAGGTTATGAGTGTGATGATGTGGCGGCGAATGAGCATCCGTTGATTAGGACGTTCGTTCGGAGGGGACCCGGGAACCGAGTTATTGCATGAAAGTCACGATGAAGTTTTGGACAAATGAGACAGTTTGAGCTTGCTGTAGGATTTGAACGCCCATGCATGCGATTGTTCGGGGAAGGTTGGTCCCTTTGAAACAATCTAAAAGGGAGGTAGCTTTATGAAGTTCTCTTTGTTCTTCGATTTGGAGTTTGAGTATTTAGACTTCTTGTGCAATGTTGTCTTTTTGGTAGAGTCTTCTCATTATCTCTTCTGCTTCTTGGTATATGTGCTTGTAGATGAGGTAACGCGGTGGTTCGGGAAAGAATGGTAACGCTATGAGGTATCCAAGTGGAACGAATAATTAACAGCAGGCGACGATACTATCTATTATTTTAGCTATATCTAGACAAAAGGATGAGAAATAAGGGTCTTTACAGATATTGTCATTTATCTGTACGATTCCGTGACAGGTAGACTACCAAACGTGGCAATGAACACCGAGTGAAGTGAAGAATGAGTAGAGCGCAAGGAATACCCCTAGCAAAAAGAGTTAGATATGGCCACAAGAAAGGTCAATGACAGTAAAACATGACAAACCTCGAACACGTGGTGGCGAGCACTCAGATAGATAAGTTGGAACAATATTTGAAGCGAGTCCAATACCAGAATAAATAATGATTCACCAACAACAATCTGCCAAAAAGAAGCCACAGCGCTGGCTTCCAGCCAGCACAACGATGAGTAGGGACAGGACCAGGAACCTAGCCTTGCGACCATATTTGGAGGCAATAATGGAGCAATGATGCAGCCTAGAATGATACCAGCTGAACCGGTGCCAGTTCCAACAGACAGCTTTTCCGATGGAATGCTCCATTCATCCAATGTCGGACTGTGTGAGCCATATCTGCTACCCTAAAGGTATTCGCCAACATCACTGCTCAAATACTACAACAGTTGAAATCATCAACGCCGATTCCACTCGACTGGAGCTGAGTCCATGGATTCGTGGTGTTTGGAATCGTATACGCCCCTTTCATCTCATTGTGGCAGCGATCTCTGGACGAGACCTTTCCGACTCAGCTCGCAGTCCAGTCTCCGAAATGAAACGAGAAGAAGTCCCGAATAAATTCTATGGTCTTTCCAAGGTTGTTATATCGATACACGTGACTGAAGCCGTGCTGGTATTTACTCTGAGAACTTGAGTCCGCCCTCATTAAAGCGGCAACTCAAATTGGTAGGATAGAGCCGGAGACACAAACATCCATGTAACCTCAATCCCTCTCCCTATGTAACCCACCGAAGGCTTGAATTTTTTCAAAGTGGAATCCGAAACATGTACGGAGTATCGGAGATAATATCCTGAGAATTACTTGGCATGCATCTAAATAGATTTACCATTTTCTATAGACAATTACAACGATATAATCATATAGAATGCGGCTAGAATACATGATCAGATGTTTTTGTAGATGCTCAGCCCCCCCACCTGAAGACATTAGTCAGCCGCTTATCGAAAATGGACATCCCAGCACCTGCACAGCCATCCAGAGGCCGGCGATAACCACATCTTGTCTCGTCTTGCTTGCATCCTATCATTTCGAGGACGTCAACAATCCCCAATCTCACCAAATTTTGCACTGAGCTTATCCCCATCTCCACTGCGGGTCATTGCAATCGTGGGGTATTCCATTCCGTTCTACAATTGCCATCAGGCCTGTGTAGATATTCAAGTGTAGCTGGTGCGTTGATATTTCCTTTTTTGTAAGGCGCAATCTCCAATCTTAGCGCCTGACTAGACGGACCGGATCGCCATGGATGGTCCGGAAAGACTAACATGCCGACATAGCCACCGTGTGCACCCTCGATCTAGCAAGCCATCATGTTTTATTAACGAGCTCTGTACTCTAAAAGATGGACATCCCATGTCGAGGTTTGGACCAGTCACCGGCAAACACGACACTAGGCATGCGAAGAAACCCCGCGGAGAAACCGTCATACTCATTTCTTAAATCGCACCTATCAAAATATTTGAAATTATGAGCGCCCAACCGTCCAAAAGACGATGCGTCAGCACAGCCTGTGTCGCCTGCCGCAAAAGGAAATCAAAGGTTGGACTTTCATATTCTGGTACCTCGGTATCGAGATCTCACATTACTAAAAATATCTGCGTGTTAGTGTGATGGGAACCTGCCCAGCTGTGCAGCTTGCTCCTCAGTATATCACACACCTTGTATGTACATCTCTTTTACAAAAGAGCAATACCATCATTGCTAACCCTTCATAGGTGTATATGATCCGAACTCGGATCACCGCCGCAAAGGTGTCTACAAGAAAGACACTGATACATTGCGGACCCGGAACACCACCCTACAGACATTAATTCAGGCAATATTAAACTACGAAGAAGCAGATGCTTTCGAATTAGTGCGTCAGATTCGCTCTTGCGACGATCTCGAAGATGTAGCCACTTCGGTGATCGCCCAGGAGAAGGGTCTCATGTCTGCGGACAAAGCCGCAAAGGAGTCTGCCGCCAGCAATGAGAACTTAGCCGAGATAGACCAATTCGAGTCAGAGCTGGCTGGCAAGATGAGTGAGCTCATGCTTGACGGTTCTCGCAAATTTATTGGAGGTACCTCGAACCTCATCTTCTTGCCGCCAGGTTCCGAGCTGCACGAGTCTGCTTCGATTCAAAACAACCTCCTCGATGCCGATGATCAAACACACGCTGTAAGCCGGTGGACTGAAGTCACAGACGACGACTCCCTAATTGGCCATCTGATGACCATGTACTTTACATGGCATTATCCCTTCTTCACTACGTTGTCCAAGAATATGTTCTATCGGGATTACATCCGCGGTGTTTCCAGTTCATATTGCTCTGCGTTACTCGTCAATGCTATTCTAGCTCTGGGTTGCCATTTCAGCTCATGGCAAGGTGCCTTTGATGATCCCCAGAATCTTGCAACAGCCGGAAATCATTTCTTCAGAGAGGCGAAGCGACTCGTTTTAGAAAATGACGAACATGAGAACGCAAAGCTATGCACTGTGCAGGCATTCGCGCTTATGTCTGTCCGAGAGGCGGGATGTGGCCGTGAAGGAAAAGGCTGGGTCTATAGTGGTCTCAGTTTCCGCATGGCTTTTGATCTAGGGTTAAATCTCGATTCGGCAAATCTTGGGCCGCACAGTCTTAGCGACGAAGAGATTGATGCTCGGCGGATTACCTTTTGGGGTTGCTATCTCATAGACAAGTCAGTCTCCATTGCCTTGATTATCTCTAACGCCCCTCTAACACTCTACAGATGCTGGTCAAATTACCTTGGTCGTCAACCCCAATTGACCTCAACCAACGCTAACGTGCCCAAGTTTGATGTGTTGCCACAAGAAGAAATAGAGCTATGGTCGCCCTACACTGATTCTGGAGTTGGTCACGAGCACACGCAACCTTCACGAACCAGGGCCGTTGCGCTCCAAATATCCAAACTGTGTGAGATCAGCGGAGATGTACTTGTGTTCTTCTACCACCCAACCGAACTTGAGAGTTCCCAGCCTAAACATTCGGAACTAAAGAAACTGAGCGATGTTCACACCCGACTTGAGGCGTGGAAAAACAAATTACCCAGGGAACTGATGGCAAAAGAAGGACAGCTACCACAAGTGCTCGTCATGCAGTAAGTTGACACACACCTATCCATATGGTGTTGCCTCAGCTGACTCTTGTCTCAGTATGCTGTATCAGCTTCAGATAATTCATTTGTACCGACCATTTCTAAAGTACACCAAGGCCAATACTCCACTTCCTTCCCATGTCTCACCTCGCAAGATATGCACGCAAGCTGCCGCAACTGTTTCCAAGCTGCTGCGCATATACAGACGAGGATATGGTCTGAAACAGATCTGCAACATTGCCGTCTATATTGCCCACACCACATGCACCGTCCATCTTCTAAACCTCCCTGACAAAAATGCCCAGAGAGACGTGATACACGGCCTCAAGAATCTCGAAGAAATGGCAGAGGGCTGGCTCTGTGCTCGACGTACCCTCCGCATCCTCGACATATCCGCAAATAAATGGCAAGTAGAGTTACCACCCGAAGCAATCTCCATCTTTGAACGAACACATAACAAATGGGGTTCCTGGGGCTCTTGGGACCAGGCGACTTCCCCCTCAACATCCGACGACTCTCCCATCGCAAACATGTTACAACCCCCTACAAACTCAAGCCAATTCTCACCATCCGGGATCCCATTCCCACGTTCTCACACCGAACCCATCGCCATGGTTGACCCACCAATGGGCCCTCAATATGGACCTCTCGCCGCCGCCCCGATATCGTTCCCCTCCATGCAAGGAATACACCCACATCAAGCCCAGCTGCCCGAGCTTGCTCCTCCCGAACCAACATATCTCCGGCCCCAAATGGCCTACCAATTCACTCCCCTCCAAAGATCCGTTCCAGCTCCCTCCTCTCCTCATCCGAACAAGTGGTACGATAGCTCTGGGGCTCACATCTCACCCCAAAATGCAACGCCGACATCGGTTGCATCGCCCGTGTCTGGGTATGACGGCACCGAAAACCTGGTCGAAGAAAGCCAGGACTGGTGGTCGAGAAATGCTAACGCGTATGGCATCGGCATGGATGGTTGGAGTGGTACTTGGAATACTCCTCCTCAAACCCAGCCTTCTCTCATTCAATACCATGATGGTAATCTCATGTCTGTTGCTCAGTCTTCTGGTTCTGGCGATGAGTAGCCTCAAGCCCCCGGGGGGAATATTGACAGTTAGGTCAGTCATCCGATGACAAGATTGGGTATGGGGATAGGTGGAAATAACGCATGGACGTTGTGATTTTTGACTCATGGAACATATCTCGTTCAATTTTCGATACCACTTTAAGGGGTTTTTGTCTTGTGCGGGCGTTCATGGATATGCCATCTACAATTCTCTTTCTGTTTAAAATCTTATGATCAATTTACAGGCATGGATATTTAGAGGTGCAAGTATCAAAAGATTTGTCATAGATGATCATTAGTTCTCAAAAACCAACACCAAGGCGCAAAATGCTACTTCCAAGAGAACCATATAAAAAGAAAGAAAAAAAGGTGCGTGGGATGGTATCACTGCACGGATGTTAGTAAAATGATATCAGTCAAGACAACGGAAAATAAAAAAGAGCTCACCAAGAAATAATCAGCGACAGGTTTCTTCGCAGGCATGCCCCTTGTATCCTGCGCCGCAGCGTCAAAGACACGATATCTCCTTCCAGGACTGACAACTCTATTATCTGTAACGATGCCGTTGCTCCGACCATATTCGCCGTTACTGCGAGCAACAGTGCCACCGCCACTTGCGTCTTCACCGAGCTCAAGGATAGCGGCAACATTGCCGCAGCGGTAGCAGTAGTTCGGAGCAGACCAGACAGTGACGATACCGCCATCAAACATTTCTTTGTACCCCTCCATAACAAGCTGGTGAGCGCGCGCAACAAGAGACAAGCCGTTGAGATGGTTGAACTGTTTGACGATATCGCCGCCGAAGAGGAACCCAGCCCCACGAGGACTCAATCCCCAGCCTTCGATCTCATCCGGATCTGACCAGAGCAGATCGCACATGGCACCTTCGTGTGGCACCTCTTGCTTGCGGTCAATCAGCCGAATTTTATCGACGGAGTCAATGAGCGGTGACAATCCACCGTGTACACAGAGCACCGCACCAGTCCGGCTAGTAGCGGCGCTGCCGTTGCCATCGCCGCTCGCACCTGTCCCCGGTGCACCCGATCGTGAGGGCGCGGCAGCCTGGCCTGGGGCGGCGGAGATGTCTCGAGGCGGGGATATATTTCTGGAGTCTGTGGATGCATCGGAAGACGAACGTTGTCGCGGGCGGTACGTACTCGATGTAACCTCGCCTCTGGAATTCAGTACTTCTGTTTCCAGCTCGCTGTCATCGATCGGCATGCTTGATAATGCTGTGTTGGAGGAGGGTTCTAGCTCCGAGCTCGCGCCGAGCACGATCGCGCCCAGGGCCAGGTAGTCAAATACTTCGCAGCAATACCGCCATACGTTGGCGCTGCCGTATTTGCGGATGCATTCGTCGTAAAATCCATATACTGTTGTGATTTGGCGTGATTCGTGGTTGCCGCGGATCAGGGTGATGCGATCGGGGTATCGGACTTTCAAACAAAGGAGAAGAAGGAAGGATTCAAGGGAGTAGAACCCACGGTCGACGAAATCGCCCATGAAAAGGTAGTTGGTATCGGGAACGTCGCCGCCGACGCGGAATAGTTCCATCAAATCGTGGAATTGGCCGTGGATATCGCCGCAGATAGTCACGGGAGCGTCAACGGATACGACATTGCCTTCTTCGATCAGGAGCTCACGCGCCTTGTAGCACAATTCGCGAACCTGGCTTTCGGGGATCAGGCGGCAGGCCCGCAGCTGCTCGATCGCCCTATTACACAATAACATTAGTTTGACGGTGAACGATGGGGGTTCTAGAGAGTTGAGGGGTTGCTGCCATACCGGTCTAGGTCACTCATGTTGTCGAAAGAAGGAGGGGGAAGGAAAGGGAAGGGGGGGACTGTATGGAAGTCGAGAAATCCCCAAAAAGAAATCAGATGGCTCAGTTCTCCGAAAAATACTATCTCATCTTCGCGAAGCTCTCTGATGCGCGACGCAGAGACTTGAGAGAAAGCGGAACATCCAATCACGCGGGAGCCAGATAAGATTAGATGCACCCAAAGCCTTTCGCTGTCTTCTCTCCCCACGATTTCCTTTTGAGGACTCCCTTCACATTTGCTGTCGGAGGTTCAGAAGCTTGTCAACTTGAACAATTCTCACTGTACATTCAATTGACCTCCTTTTGTGCGCTATTCCTTCCCTTCCTGTCCGACTACACCAGCCAGCCCACTCCGAGCCCTCCAATGGCTTGAGAAAATCCAGAAACAGTCGGCCACGCCCACCTCGTCTCAATTGAACATCAAGAATCATTCTCTTTCACTTTATACACAATGCCGCCACATCTACATCCCCGGTCGCGGTCAACCACCGGCCTATTCGCCGGCACCCTCCTCGCATCTCTCCTAGTCGTCGGACTGCCGCACGTCTTCCCCTGTCCGGCCCCACGCCGCACCTTTGCCGATTCGGAAATGACCATGACAGCCGATGGACAACAAGTACCACGCTTCCGACGTAGACGGCGTAAGGATCTCGAAGTGAGCGCAGAGGGCAGTCAGCCGGATCAGCCCATACCAGCTGTCGCGGACGAGGAGGTCTCAACATTCCTTCAAATGGAGGCGGAAGCAGAGAAACTCTCACACCTCAATCGAGAATGTCCCGTCCCCAAACCTAAAGGTGCTTTAGGGGAATTGCTGGGCTTCCACGATATCCAAGCGAATTCCCAGCACCAGCAAACCGCCCTGTCAGAAGGAGACCGATAATGCGTGCACATCGACAACACTCTCCTTCGATTCTTTTGCGTTTTGTTTTGTCGGCTGTTTAATGATACCATGGATTTTGAATATAAGGGTTGGGCGGACTGGTGGATGTTTAGAAGAAAGACCATGCTCGAGGTCCCAATGCGAGCTAGACCTACAACATATGTATTCCCTATGTACACTGAGATGTATAAAATAAATACCAATTATATTATGACTAGACATAGTCAAATGATACATGTATATAGTTGCCTTGATCAAAATGTGTTACCTCCAACTTGAGTACAATTGTAGACACTTACGCAGTAGGCGGAGCCAGCTCCGGCCACCTCGACTATTCCCCCGTCAACCATCGAGCGTATATCGCCATGGCATTGACAGCCAAGAGCTTCGTCTACGACGTGCTCACCAATCCACAACATGCACGATGGATTGCACCTCTAGTCATTCTAGGCGACGCGCTACTCTGCGCCCTCGTCATATGGAAGATCACTTGTAAGACCGCGTCCAGGTGTCGCGTACTGAACCAGACCCAGCTAACCAACCAACAACCACAGACACCGAGATTGACTGGTCGACATACATGCAACAAGTTTCTCTATATATCTCTGGCGAACGCGACTACCCCCTGATCAAAGGCTCAACCGGTCCGCTCGTCTACCCCGCCGCCCACGTATACATATACACCCTCCTCTACCACCTCACCGATGAAGGCCGTGATATTCTCCTCGGGCAGGCGCTCTTCGCCCTGCTCTACCTGGCTACTCTGGCTGTGGTGATTGCCTGCTACAGACAAACGGGGGCACCTCCGTATCTTTTTCCACTCCTTGCTCTGTCCAAACGGCTGCATAGCATATTCGTCTTGCGCATGTTCAATGATGGCGTCGCGACTTTCGCGATGTGGCTTGCTATATATCTGTGTCTGAGACGCAGTTGGACGGCAGGGATTGCGGTGTGGTCTTTTGGGGTTGCGATTAAAATGACACTCGTGCTGCTTGTGCCTGCTATTGCGGTCATCATTCTTCTCGGTTTGGGGTTGGTGCGAAGTATTTCGCTTGGGGCTATGGCTGTCCTTATCCAGGTGGGTATTTAGAAAGGCAATTGAGTTCTGAGGAGTTGAGAGTTGGCTAACGCGAACAAAATACAGGTCCTACTTGCGGTTCCCTTTCTCCAGACTAACGCTACAGGCTACCTCTCTCGGGCATTTGAGCTATCTCGCCAGTTCTTGTTCAAATGGACAGTGAACTGGCGGTTTGTAGGAGAGGAAACGTTTCTCTCAAGGGAGTTCTCTGTGGGTCTCATCGTGCTGCATATATCCTTGTTGGCTATCTTCTTCAGAAACTGGGTAAAACCTTCAGGCTCGAACATGGTTCGCTTCCTCCAGGATACTCTCCAAGGACGCCAAAAGACAGTTCCACTCTCAAAATCCTTCACTATGACTGTCATGTTGAGCTCACTGGCCATCGGCTTGCTTTGCGCCAGGTCCTTGCATTACCAGTTTTTCGCGTATCTCGCGTGGGCGACCCCCTTCCTTCTCTGGCGCGCAGGTATCCACCCAGTTCTTATATACGCCGCATGGGCGCTGCAAGAGTGGGCCTGGAACGTTTTCCCCAGCACAAACGCAAGCTCGGCGGTTGTGGTGTTGTCGCTCGCGGTCCAGGTCTTTGGCGTGTTGTTCAATGGTTCGAGCGAGGTAGATAAGAAGAGTGACAAGGGGAGCAGCCGCAGCAAGGCAACTGTCCAAAAATGAGAGATACCCCCGGCCCCAATTCATATTGAGACGTGCATATTTCGAGAATCATTGTTGATAGCCCAGAATCCCTGTGTACCGTAGCGACTGCCATTGAACAAACGCTTGGTGCCTTTGAAAGGCGATCATTCAGTCTGACTCGTCGGAGGAAGGCATTCGGCCCACACGAGACTCTTCCTCTTCGTCGTCAGAGTCAGCAGCCAACACAACGGGCTGTTTCACGAATTCCTTAGGCCTGTGGGAAAACCAATGCCAATTAGCAAACGAGTTTGTGGCTAATCTTAATCAAAAAACACATACCAGAAGGGAGCCTTCCTCCAAGCTTTCTCGTCTCGGACGATATTGACAATCTCTCCTTGAATTTTATTGTCCCGGTCCTCCTGGCCCTTGGTATCGACCACGACGTACGAGCTGCGCTTGATCCAGATAGCGGAGCGGAATCGTGCAGGCAATTCGACTAGCATCTGCTTCTTGTCTGTCTGTTCGACCAAGTAGATGTTGTTTCCGGTGGCTTTGATGGCTCGCACGATCTGCTGAGTGTCGGATAGCTCGTCTGGAGGGGTCAAAGTTCCCTCTGCTGTAGCCAGCATCTTTCGGCGAGGTGGTCCCATTTCTGAAGGTGTAATTTGTATTGATGGATATTGCAAATGTAGAAACGCAGAGAAATAAATTGCAAGAGAGAAAGTCCGGAAGGAAATTCTTCGGAAATAATTTGAGATCTTATCGGCGGGGCAGCTTTCCCAAGGTTCCCCCTGCCCGCATTTACTCCAGTGTCCCCATGTTATATGCCATCAAGTTATCTTTGGACTGGCCAATAACTCAGGTCGATTCCAGAAATATCATGGATGACAGCACTATCAAACAGCACTATTGATGAGTTACATACTGCCCTTCGGACTATCTTAGTAGTGTTCAATCACCATGCCCCGGGATCCCAGTGAGCACTCAGGTCCTTCGGGGCTTGCTCACTAAATACATAAATACCTAGTTACAATATGCCCAGTTTTGTAACTTGAAAACAAAGATGGAGAAGAACAGTTTAGTCACGCGACATGTGATGAGCCTCAGAAAAGCCTCCGATGTCACGATTGTCCTGTCACATGCTTCGAGATCGTTTGTTTACTTCCAGGGGGCTTTCTTCGTTTCGCTTCCGAGGTGCCCAGGTGAGAGCGATTCTTTTGATTTTTTGAACCTCGGAGGATCACAAGCTTCATGATTGTCAAGCTAATATCGGATCCGAAAATTACCAGACGGTGATAACACGGCTTGAAAACGCAGGGCTGAAAAAAAAAAAAAAAAGAGTTACGCGTCTTCTGGGAGAAAATAACAGTTCAGGCGCGATGGGCCATTTATGTTGTAATTGCAATAGGTGGGAATCTGATCTTTGTGGTATTACTCTCTTCGCAGCCAACGTAGATGCTTGATATGAATGATTCTACGAGTACATACTCTCGAGGCTTGACTCGGCCGGCCATAGTCTACAAAACACCATTTCAAAGTCCGTTGGAGCGAAGCACTTCAAAACTTATCAACGAGACGGTGATTCTAGCAAGTAATTAAGTTTCAATTCACGGATCTATCAGGCAGTGAAGCCCGATTTGCCAACAGGGTACTAATACCCAGGACAACTATATGACATGGCGATGGCTATTTACCACGCTATTTCCCAACGCTCCCCTTCCACACCCCGTTTGCTTTACAGTTCACGCTTGTTCTCGCTATCGCCGCTGCTAGTAGCAATCTCAACTTTCTCGGACTCAGCGGCGTGGTGGTCACTGGTAGTCAAGCCAAGGTCGATCTGCATCTGGGTGATCTGCTCAACGGTGAGCTTAGGCAGCTCCTGGGCGATTTGGAAGGGCCACTTCTTATCGACGTGGGCCTTGGCAAAGATGACATCAATCTCTTCCAAATCACGACCGGCGGTCTCAACGTAGAAGAAGTAGGCGAAGGGAATGGCGCTGAAATTGACTAGGGCGAAGAACAGATAGAGACCCCAGGAACTCCGGTTCGAGAAAACAGGGGTGAACATGACAACAGCGAAGTTGTTGATCCAGTTGGTGCAAGTGGAAGCGGAAGCAGCCATGGTACGGGTGCGAAGAGGATTGATCTCGGGAGGGTAGATCCAAGGTAGAGGCAGCGTGGTAAAGGCGAAGAAGCAGATAAAGAGGAAGATACCGACGGCGGCACCCTTAGCGTTTTGGGCTGACTCGTCGATTAGGCAACCCATGGTGATTATAAAACTAAGACCTTGGCCGAGGAAACCGATAAAGAACAAGTTACGGCGACCGACTCTTTCAATCATGAAGAAGGAGGGGATAGTAGCGAGAGCGTAGACAGTGGAGAAAACACCGCCGATAATCATAGCCATCTGATGCTCCATTTTAAGGTTATTCTCGAAAAGGAGGGTAGAGTAGTAGATAGCTGCGTTACAGCCAGTAAATTGCTGGAAGAACTGGCCGGAGCAACCTATCATCATACGCTGGAACTCTTGGGTTTTCCCAAAGGTAAACAGGGTCTTCCAGCTGTTCGACTGTTGGGATTCAACAGCCCTCATATCAGCCTTTATTAGGTTAAAATCACGAAGGACGTCCTCGGCGTCCTCGGTGCTATCATTAAGGCAAGCCATGACTTGGAGAGCCTCCTTATCTTTGCCCTGCATAATAAACCATCGAGGAGACTCGGGTAGCATAAGAGCACCGACAATAACGCCGCCAGCGAATAGAATCTGGAAGGCGACGGGGAATCGCCACTGGACAGAGGAGTTGGTGAAGGAAAACCCGAAATCGATCCAGTAGGCAATAAAGGTACCAACTGCAATGATAGCACCCTCGAAGCAGACGAGGAAGCCACGGTTGTGGGCCCTAGAACATTCCGACTGCCAGACGGGGATAGTGGCGGTATCCATGCCGTTTCCTAGACCGGAGACCACACGACCGATCACAAATTGACCCAGACCCCAGGAATGGCCATAGGAAGCTGTGGAGAGGACAGTACCAATCACCATGAGAGTACCACCAGCGACTAGCAAAGGGGTACGGCCAATGCGCTGACCGAAGCAGAGAGTGAAGATAGCGCCGAAGAAACAGCCGAGTTCGTAGCAGGAGTTGAGGGCACCCTGTAGGACGGAGACATGCGAGGCAGAATTGCCAGGAATGCTTTTATCGAGGACAGGGAACTCGCCGATGAAAGCTGTACCTTGTAGAATACCGGACATCAGACCCTGATCATAACCGAACAGGGAGAAACCGACGACGGAGGTGAGGGTGATGGCCCAGTGGAGCTTCTTGCCCCGGAGGCCGGAGTTGGTTGTCCACATAGTGCGATGCTGCTTGCCTCTACCTAACTAAACTAGGGAGGATAAGGAGGTACTGAAACGACAAAGAGAGAACAGACGCAGACTCCGGGGGGGGGTGAGTGATGCTTTTTGTATCTTGTTTAGACGCATGCGCCTGCTTTCTGTGTCTGTGGACATCAGGGGCCCCGGCCCCACTGGGTCTCTATCGGTTGGTTCCGCCATGGGGGAGGAGGTTAAAGATGACGGCGGCGGCTTGGATATCGTAGGCAAGTGTCGCGACCCGCCTTGGGGGCTGAGGACTTTACAGGGTTGTGAGTGGACAAGTGGTATAGGGAGGGGCAAGTCTCGCGGATTGCCAAGAAGGCCAAGCGCCCCATACATGTGAATGGAGTCCTGGCAGCCGCTTAAGACTTTTCGGTTCTCGCGGCCGAGGATTGACCCGTTGCCAAGGGCAAAGAAGCTCCCGCCAAGTCGAATGGATCACCCATTTACATAGATGGTAGAGTTAAAGTTGAGAATTCGGGGAGGAAGGAAAGATTCGAAGTAGAAGGAAAGTTAGGTTTATTCTGTTGTATGCTGTACATGGAATCAAAAGAAATCATTTTAATGCAGATTAATCGAACTAACGATTAATGACATGGATTAAATTAATCTAAATAAAATAATAAAAGTACTAAGTACTAGAATAACTAAAATACCAAATTACTAAATTACTGACTAGGATTATTGTCTCATCCTAGGCTGATATAGCCTCGTGGAGGTAGATCACTTCTTCGGCGGCCGCAAGAGGAATCTCGCCCGACCCTCCATACTCTCCATACTCTCCATACCCTGGGGGAAATTGGGGAAATTGGGGAAAACGGGGAGAGAGAGACCGGTGGTCCAAGGGTCTTTCCTTTGTCCTATGTTGTAGGTGAGTCATGAAGCGTGTCCCACCCCCCCCCATAGTAAGACCATGAATGAATCGACCTTTGGGGCCAGGGTCAAATCATGTTGAATATCACACTCATGAAACTCGCCTTAGTTGCCCCCCTTCATTCCTCGTCTTAACCTCGGCCCTATTTGACGCTGGCTCCGATGCCGACGGCCAGATAGGTTACACTTCTAGACATCGCCCACATCTTCGGAAGTTCGAGGGCCAATCGTACTTCCCGGGGCACTCCCCGCGGGGACAAGGTGGCCCCCTCTTAGTGGCCCCCTCAGCCCTCGTCTCGTCGGGATGGGCTCCACGCTAACGCTACATTGCCGATCACAATGGTGTTTTCGACTCAAAGGACGCCTGGCCCGACCGGAATAGGTAAGTCCTGACTCGCCTGCAGGGCAAAGGATCCCCTTGCGAGTGAACGTGTCATGGGTCAGACAAAGCGAACTACGCGAAGTCCAAAAGTCCAAGACTTCAATTTCCATTTTCATCTGCCTTATGGACCCAAGGGCCGAGCGCAGCCCTACCTGAAGCTAAGTCTGAACCATCGGATGTTTTATTCGGAAAAACGAAATCCGACCTATGAACATCTAACATCCGACATACGACATACGAAGTACTCCGTACATACGAAGTACATACGGAGAAACCACTCAAATGGAAATAGCCCAAAATGGACCGGAAATTAATCCAAATGGAACTAGCCCAAAATAGGTCAACTAATGATCAAATACTTTTGGATATGAACAAGGATTATCTGCACTAGCCCTAGAGGGGGCGGTTTGACTACAATGTTGTACGTAAATCCTACCATCTGCATTTCATAGCGTGGTGTTTCCTTTTTCTTTCTTTTTTTGCTTTTTGCTTCTTTTGCTTCTTTTGCTTCTTTTGCTTCTTTTGCTTCTTTTGCTGTTTCCTCTCCTCGTGAACAATTCCATTCTCAACTAGTAAGACTAAGTGCGTACCCGTAAAACTTAGAATAACATGGCCTATTTATCCGTATCCAGTGAAGCCCTAAAGAAGCCCAGGTGTGTATGGGGGAGAAGGTACGTGCGGAGACAAGGATAAACCCCATGCAAGACCAATTAAATCACCAGGAGACCGGAGACCAACAGATCTTTTTTGACAGGGGGATGTTGTTAAATGCACATGAGTTTCAGAACCAAATGGAATGTGAGAAATGGGGATACTCACCTCCTTTTTGTATATTGTAAGGCTTTTACACCATTAAATAGTACCCATAGATCCTCCTACGATGCTTTTGAGTCTGCTGTATAACATAGAAAATAAAAAGCATTGTCAAGCAATTCTAGCCATAAACGGTTCATCCATTAAGTCTTGGTGTACTCCACATTCAAAAGGGGGCCCAGTCAGAACGTAAATCCCATCCACTTCAAAGTTCAGACCCTCTCTTTTGGAAACTTCCTTGGGGTCCTCATTTTGATTGCGCATCTCGCGACCTATTCATCAGTCAGTAAAAACAGTCCATTAGCCCAAGAATCCCAGCACCCAAACCACACTGATCCTAGAAATCCCCCACCTCATAACTTGATTGAGAGTCCGTACGTACCCCTTGGGTGCCGGGGGGTTGTCATTGTATAATAATGTACAGAGTAGTATTTATTAGATAACTTCCATCTGCCGCGAGGGCATTCATCCACCTCTAACGCAAAGCGACGTCATTCTCGATGCTTGCGCCCCATCTGTTCGCTTATTGCATCTTTCGTAAATGAATTGCTCGGCGGGGAATGCTTGTACTCCATGAATCTCCACCCCGTTAAGCCCGCTATGGTGGCGTATGGGGGCCAAAATTCACTGATGGTATCACGGGACAATATTAAATATTATACTCCATACAAGGGTTTGAAATGACTAAAGGAAGGCGATCGTCATTTCTATAGCACAAGGACGCCTGGATAACCGGATGGCGCTTATTTATAGTGCCGAAATAGAGCCGGGAAACCTACTCTTTAAAGTATACAAGTATGTTGTAGTAAATAGCAATTGAACACTTACCAGTTGAGAAACTAAAAGATGCAGGAAATTGGAGATCATTATAGTTACTGCTCTATACTATTACCAAGACCTCTTTTATAGACTTCAGAACTTGAATTCCTAATCAAGATACTACCCCCTAAGCCCTAATTCCTACCCTGAATACCCTGGTGTTGGTAGTAGTAGTAATAGTACTACTACTACTACGCGCGGTTCTCCAACACTCTGATGATAGACGTATTTTTGCGCTAAATATGAGGCCCATGTCGAGCGCCACCCGATGATTGCACTAGGCGAATCAGGCAAGTTAACAAATTAATATATAACAAATCATTATGGCAGAACGTGGCAGGAATCGCGGGTCACTCTGAGAAGCACACGGCAGACCTCACAGCATCATCCGATTCGTCCGGAGGAACGACAGGGGGTGAATTAGTACTCAGTCAAGAGGTTTAACGAGGACGAGGTACACCAGGGGCCTGAGGCACTAGTCCGTATGTCTATTTACTCAATCAGTGCTCACAGGGATGAAAGCCCTCAGAGTCTTAACCTAATACTCACAAACATACATACATTCAGCCATCATATCTGGCCGAAGACCAGAGGTTGCCAGACAATGCACGACAACCAAGTGACGGGCGGAGTGCGGCCTGTCCAGTCAAAAGAAACATGCCTGGTACCATCCCCGATCAAGTTTTGCTGTTGGATTGAGTGTACCTTTGACTTCGGTGCCCTCAGTTTCACTCCAAAGGATGTTTCCCCGGCACTCCTCATGCTCTGTGCAGCCGCGTCTCATGGAGACCTTCGAAACTACACTGGGTGTGGTATCATTGGGATTGATGCAAACACCCAGCTCACTCCCATCCACAAAACCGACGACCTCGCGGACTGCCTTGTACCCATGGAACCCGACTTCGACCTTGAATCATCAATATCCCAGAATTTACATACGTTGAAGGATGATCTGCATGAAGAGGCCCAGCGGCATCATCAACACCTGAATGTCATGAGCAAAGACACCATTCGTCACATCCTTATACTCGAGGAGAAAAACGCAGGTGGAAAATCCCCGAAATGGATGCAACAGCTCAAATCTGCTGGACAGACGGATGAGCTCATCCCCACAACCGTTCTGCATTGTATCCTGGAACAAGGCCTTTTGTCAGTTCGAACATGCATCGGTAACTCACGGGTAGATGGGGCTCGCCGAACGCAAAGCGTCCTCGAGAACTTCATGCACCTCCTCGTTGAATCGCTCAGTCGCCCACAATTGCGACTACTGGATGCAGTAGAAGGTTTCCTGCCCACCTCTCCTACCGCGTCCATCCCAGATGTTCCACCATTCTGGGAGGTGTGCGTGCAAAAGGTAATCCAAGACCAGTGTCGAAAATCCCCAGACTCTCTGGCAGTTGACGCATGGGACGGCTCCCTCACATATCGAGAGCTGGACGAACTTACAGACAGGCTGGCACGTGCACTGATGCTCCTGGGGATCGGACCGGAACGCTTCGTTCCCATCTGCATGGAAAAGTCCCAGTGGACAACGGTGGCCATCCTCGCCGTTATCAAAAGTGGGGGCGCGTTTAGTCTACTGGACCCAGCTCATCCTTTGCCCCGCCTGCAGCAGATCTGCGACGATCTACAAAGTCCGTTTATACTGTCGTCAGAAGCCCAGGCAGCGCGGTGTCTGGAGCTGGGAGAGGTTCTAGTTATAGAGAATTTGGATAAAGCATGTCGATCAAGCCGTGACCTCGACGAGATGCCACTGGCCCAGCCAGGCAATGCGCTCTATGTTGCTTTTACGTCGGGGTCCACGGGGAAGCCGAAAGGAGTCGTGATTGAACACCAGGCTTACTGCTCAAGCGCTCAGTCCCATACGCAGGCCTTCCAGATCAACGACAGGTCTCGCCTCCTGCAGTTCGCTGCCTACGCGTTTGATGTGAGCATCCTGGAGACGTTAAGCACGCTGATGGCTGGAGCGTGTCTCTGCGTACCAAGTGAGGCTCAACGAAATGATGTGGTGTTGTTCGAAGACGCCTTGAAGACCTTCCGTCTCACCCACGTAGGCCTCCCTCCGTCCTTTGCTCGAATAGTCCCCTGGGCGAATATCGAAGACCGGCCCACGTTGCTACTAGGCGGCGAGCCGATGCGCAAGTCAGACAGGACCATTTATAGCGCGCTTGGGATGCGCTTGATGAATGCATACGGACCTACTGAATGCTCTGTCAATGCGACAATCCATCATCGCGTCCGGCCCAGACATCCGGTGCAGAACATCGGCAAGCCTACCGGGGCGGTTGCATGGATCGTCGACCCTGACGACATGGAGAAGCCGATGGAATGGGACGAGGTTGGCGAGCTACTTCTTGAAGGCCCCATCGTGGGCCGGGGATATTTGAACAACAGTGATGCTACTCGCAAGGCCTTTATCGAGCCTCCGACATGGCTTCGACGGCTGCGAAAGGGGCAGTATCAGCATCGGGTTTACCGGACGGGAGATTTAGCATCTCAGGATCAGACAGGAGCTATTCATATAGTCGGTCGCAATGACGGACAGTTCAAGATTCGAGGGCAGCGCGTCGAGGTCGCTGACGTCGAACATCACATCAACGACTTTGTGGACATCAGCACTGAAGTTATCGTGGAGAAGGTCAACACGTCCGACGACTACCAAAGGCTCATCGCATTTGTCGTCCTTGATGGGCCGTTACCTGCGCAGGCGGCTAGCTCGCTCTTTCTAGCACCGAATTCCTCTCACCTGGAGAGTTTCAAAGTCATTCAGGAGCAGCTGCGTAGCCGTCTTCCCCGGTACATGGTTCCCGATTTGTGGATTCCCTTGGCCCGTCTACCCAAGGCGGCATCTGGAAAAATCGACCGACGTTTATTGAGAGACACCACAGCGGCAATGTCGCAAAGAGATCTTTATGCCTTTGCGTGCTCCGCGGGAGAGAAACGGTCTCCTACCAGTTCCAGTGAACGGACATTACAGCAAGTATATGCTGATATCCTTCAAATCCAGCCTACCGCCATTGGCATGGACGATACCTTTTTGCGCCTTGGTGGCGATTCTGTCCAGGCTATTCGTCTGGTCGGGGCTGCAAGAAAGGCGGGGCTGGCCGTTCAGATGCAGGAGGTCCTCGCTGAGGTCAGTATCGCCGACCAGGCGAACAAAGCAATAACGATCACATCTTCGCCCGAGGCTGTCTATGAGCCATTTAGTCTGGTGGAGGCCTCTGTGCAGGCTGATGTTCTTAGGCTGGCCCAGGAACAATGTAGTGTGCAACGGTCACAAATTGAAGACATCTATCCGTGCACGCCGCTGCAGGAGAGCATGTTCGCATCCTCGTTGCAGCACCCTGGCATGTACACCGGAAACATTGTCTTTCGAATCCCTCTCGGTGTGGATACCTCCAGGTTGAAACATGCGTGGAAGGACACGGCTTACAACAATCCTATCCTGCGCACGCGGATTATCCAAACCTCGCATGGGTTTTTCCAAGTCGTTGTCGACACCTTTTCGTGGCGAGAACATACCGGCCCCGTTCTGGAACCCTCAGGATTTACGGAGCTGGTCGGGCAACCATTGGTTCAATACCTCCATAACGAGAAGGATCGTGAGCTGATATTGACGAGTCACCACGCTGTGTCGGATGACTGGACGCTACGTCTCGTTCGACAACAGGTGGAAGCCGCGTATCACGGTCACTTGCTGGAGAAGCAGCATTTCCATCCCTTCATTCAATACACCCGAGACCTTCAAGGCGTGGAGGAGTTCTGGGCCACCCAGCTGGCTGAACTGGATGCCACGGTGTTTCCTGAGCTTCCAGCCAGCAATTACCGGCCTTCGGCCACGCAGTCCCTTCAACATAAGATCGAGGGGCTTTGCGTAGACAAGCAAACTCCCCATACCCTCCCTACTTATATCTACCTTGCGTGGGCATTGCTTACCGCTCACTATACTGATTCCCCCGACGTGGTGTACGGCGCGACCCTGAGTGGACGCAATGCCTCAGTCCCAGCCATTGAGGCCATGGTCGGGCCAATAATCACAACCCTTCCATTGCGCGTTCGATTGCAGTCTGTGACCTCGGTGGTGGCCGCGTTGGACCAGGTACAAAAGACCCTGGCTGCCATGATTCCGTACGAACAGGCCGGGTTGCCACGGATTGCCAGGAGTTCCCAGGATGGCACGAGAGCCTGTCAGTTCCAAAGCCAACTCATAATCCAGTCCCCAGAGGAAACAGAGGATACGAGTCTTTTTGAGACCATCGAAGGGTCCACCCAAACCGGGCTTGATTATACAACCTTCTGCGAGTTCGCGATGATGCTGTCGGTCTTACCTAGCCCAGACCGGACCAGGATGACTATTGATACTGCGTTCGATCCCCATGTCCTCTCGCCGGATCTCATGCGCCGGATGTTGTGTCAGTTTACACATATTCTGCGTCAGATCATGCAGCATCCTACGCAGCAGATAGAAGCAGTGGATATGGCATCCCCGGATGACTTGGTTCAGCTCCAACAGTGGAATTCTCAGATACCTCCGGCGGATTCCCGGTCCTTGAACGACCTGGTTCTAAGTCGGTGTCTCGATAAACCACAGGCTATGGCTGTATGTGCGTGGGATGGGTCTTTGACGTATTCAGATCTAGATGGCTTGTCCTCCTCCCTGGCGCACCGACTTGGATTGCTGGAGGTGCACGCGGGCTCTTCGGTGGGGATCTGTCTGGAGCGGAGTAAATGGAGCGTTGTCGCTATTCTGGCCGTCCTGCGTGCCGGCGCTACGTGCATTCTCCTGGACTTGTATCATCCGCGCCAGAGAATCCACGATATTCTCAGAGAAACTTCCGTTCAAGTCGTGATCAACAGCCAGACAACGGCGGCACTAACAAGCGGTCTCACGCCAATTGAGGTTTGCCTCGATCCAGTGATCACAGATATTCTGTCCCACACGCCTTACCTCCCTGATTCACCAGTCCCCCCTACTACACCCGCCTTTATTCTGTTCACCTCCGGCAGCACCGGTCGTCCCAAAGGCATTGTCATGCCGCATAGCACCTTAGCCTCCAGTATTAGGTACCATAGTGCACCTATGAATGTCGGAACTGATTCGCGGGTACTCCATTTCTCCTCGTACGCGTTTGATGTCAGTATATATGAGATCTTCACTACACTGGCGGCGGGCGCAACCCTCTGCATTCCGTCGGAATTCGAACGTAAAAACGCGCTTGCCGAGGCGATCTGCCGATTCCAGGTCAACTGGGCGTTTCTCACTCCATCAACTGTGCAGACTTTGCGACCCTCGGAAGTACCCTGCCTATCGACGTTGGTCCTGGGAGGGGAAGCAGTCACCCGCGAAAACGTCAACGTTTGGGCCCCTGGTCGCACGCTGATCAACGGATACGGCCCCGCGGAAGCCACCATCTGCGGTGTTGGAACCATTCCGCCGACAAGGTGGAAGCAGGGGTTGATTGGGTCAATTGTCGGTGGTGTCGGCTGGGTGACGATGCCCACTGACACGTCACGGTTGGCTGCCATCGGGGCCATCGGAGAGCTGCTGCTGGAAGGACCTTTTCTGGCAGCGGGATACTTCAACCTCCCGGATGTCACGGCCGCTTCATTTATAAAGCCCCCGGCATGGAGACAGAGAATGCCCCTGGGTTCATCCTCAGGTCTCTATCGGACGGGAGATCTCGTGCAGTACCAGGATGATGGAACTATTCGATACATGGGCCGTCAGGGCACGCGCTTAAAGCTGCACGGCCAACTGATCGACCTGGGAGAAGTAGAAGCTAATACGCTTCGTGAATTCCCTGCGGCCAACGGAGTAGCGGCCGAGATTCTCTCTTTGGATGTTGGCGGGAACGTAGCAGCAACACTAGTCGCTTATATAAAGTTCGACTCTAACGACCCCAAAGAGGGCGACGCCAATGGTATCTTAGGCTCGGTCTGCCAGGAATTTCGCCGTAGTACGACCGAGGCGCAGAAGCGTCTCCGAGGGCTCCTTCCATCGTACATGGTCCCGTCCATGTTCATCCCAGTCCAGGTGATGCCGCAGACCGTGACGGGAAAACTTGACCGTCGCAGCCTACGGTCAGCTGTCCGGTCGCTTTCCTCCGAGGAGCTCCAGAATTACCGGGCAGCGCCGCTAGCGAAGACCTCAGTCTCTAATGACGCTGAGCGACTGCTGCAAGCCATGTGGGCTGATCTCCTGGGAACGGCCAAGGAATCTATTGGGGCAGAAGACAACTTCCTAGTCATTGGTGGTGATTCGATCTTCACCATGCGAATGGTCGCCACGGCTCGACGTGCCGGGTTCGGCTTCACCGTGGCGGACGTCCTGAGCCCGAACAGCTCATTGTCATCTCTTGCACTTTCCTTGCAGGAAGTCGGGCCCGGTCAAGAAAAACCTGCTTTGTCTGCTCCAGCTCAACCATCCATCCTCACATCAGTGGATTTCCAGCAACATCTCAGTTCCCTGCAACAGCAAGGAATGCTGCCCCTGGCAGGAAACGTGACCAGCGCGCGGCCAGCTACGGAAGCACAATCAACACTCGTCTCGCGGTATCCATGGTTCCATTTCCAGTTTCCATTCCAGGGCGAACTTAATGAGCATCGACTGCGAGATGCTTGTCGAGCACTTGTCCGTGCTCACAGTGTGTTGCGGGTTGTCTTTACTAAATATCGCGGGGAGCTCTTCCAATTAACCCTAATGGAAGATATAGATCTCCCTCTGCAGGTAGTAACGACCGATAACCTGTTAGACTCCTTTTGTGAATCTCTTTGCCATTCGGAGCAGGCTGCTTCGGTTCCTTCAGCTGGAGTCGCGACCCGTTTTACCCTGGTCTCCAATCCCGCGCATACAGACCAGCGACTCATCATTCGTCTAGCCCACGCCCAGTATGATGCCAATTCCATTCCGATTCTAATCCATGATCTCGTATCAGCATACGATGAGGAAAAGAAGATCGCAGATACCTCTTTCGACTGGTATCTTGAACAACGGGCGCGGCACTCAGATCAAGAGCAGCACCGGGCCTTCTGGCAGGAGTACCTGGCAGGTTCTTCCCTTGCCTCATCTCCCCTCGATCTCACGTCGACCACCCAGTTGGTGACAGGAACCTGCGATCTCACTTTACCAGCCGAGCTCCCACCTTATGTCACCCTGCCCACCGTCGTAAAAGCCGCTGCCGCTCTAGTCCTCGCTCGACACCTCCACCAACCTGATATCGTCGTCGGCCAGACCGTCGATGGGCGCAGTCTGCCATTCCCCGACATCGACCGAGTCGTAGGCGCCTGTAACAACTATATCCCGTTCCGCGTACAGCCCCGTGCGTCTATGACCGCCCGAGACTACCTCCTCCATGCCCAAACCCAGCATGCCCGGAGCCTGGGTTCCGAGTCTGTGGATTTCCGAACGATCGTCTCGCACTGCACGGATTGGCCGTCTTCCACGGAATTCGGGTACATCGTGCAACATCAGACGGCTAATCACGGCCTAACCTTGACACTAGGGTCCAAGTCTGCGTCTCTAAAACTGGTGGGTGGGCTCTCGCCCGGATCGGAGGTGTGGATTTGTTCTACCGAGACTCCATCTGGGGTGAGAATTGATATTCACTCCTCGACGCAGAAGATGAGTCTCGACCGGGCCACATCTATGGCGTCTGAAGCTTGCGCAATGATTAATGATCTTCTGACGGGGTTGGATCGGTGTTTGTATGATATTGAAGGGATCACATTCCTAAACTAGATAGTATTTAACTAGTCAATGACCTATAGTTTAGGAAAGCGTTTGTCTTCTTTGCTATGTTATTTATAAGTGTAGTGGAGCATCATTATAAAAATGATTCCTTAATATTCTCTCTGATAGTCTTTACCTTTCTCGTTCTTATGTCGCGGCTCGAAGTTTTTCTTGTTCTCGGCCACTGCCTGAGCTTGCAGCGCCGCATAAGAACTTGGGTATAAGAACTTAGCGCTGCAATCGCCCTAGTGGTTATATTTTGCTATACATACCACTGTGGGATATGAAGGGCGTTGCTCTATTCTATGGTAACTCATCGAATATCGCTCCGCTGCTAGAGCAATCTAATCATATCAGATACTGGATTGTTGTATTGTATGTTCACAACTCAGATATATACAGTATACGCATCATAATGACATTAGTTCCTCTTACGACCTATACCTGCCTAGGTTCGTTCACGAAAGATTATTTGATTTCTCGAGACACCATCAACCATCAAAGACGACAATATGTCGACGCCCGCTGATATTCAGGGCGTAATGCAAGACTTGCTCCTTCATGGGCAATTCTACGATATGGAAATAATTTGTCAAGGGATCACTTTCAAAGTCCACCGGGCTATTGTTTGCACCCAGTCAAAGTATTTCAATAGCGCAATTTGTGATGGCTTCAAGGTATAATCGACCGATTAAGCCGCGGTTGGTTTATGTATCTCATTTGCTGACTTTTTCAGGAATCCACTGAAAGATCTATCAGAATCCAGGAAGACACCCCAGAGACAATTGAACGGGTTCTTTCCTATCTCTATCTTAGGGAATATGACGATAGGGGTACAATCCAATGCCAAACCATTTCTGAGCCCGCCCCAAGCAGTCCAGGGGATAAAACGAACGACACAGAATCTACAAAGAACATTGCTCTTAACAACATGAGAGTGTTCATCACGGCTGACAAATTTGGAATCGATTCATTGCAGTCGTTGGCGACCCAAAAGTTCTCTCAATGGGCAACTAAAAACTGGAACTCTCCGGTATTTCCCGAGGTCATCCAGGAAGTCATGGCGTCAGTCCCTTCATACAAATCGAGTCTCCAGGAGATTATCGTCGACATTATCGGTACGCACGTTTTTGATCTCATCGAGAACCCGGGGATCATTGAGGTCTTGAATTCTTTCGGGTGCCTTGGATCACAGGTCATCGCCAGATCAATCCGGAATGGGCAGTTGAGACATCCTAATGAGGATAACATCTTCAAGGAATTTACTCAGAAAATCAACTCCTGCCGCAGCTGTCGACAATGTGCAAGGCCGTTCAATGTAAGAATAGAAAGGGGGGAATATCTCATCTGCATTTTCCGTTGTTCTATTTGCAATACACGACATTAACGAAAGGATGGTAGTTACAAAAGTCTATTCCGTCAATATAATTATGACTCTACAGGGTCGAACCCTTATACCAATATGTATGCATATAATAAGACCTATTTCGATTCACCGCGTCACCGTATCTTTTCAAGTAGGGCGCAGAATCATGTTAGGAGGATCAGTAATAAGTTTGAATATCAGCTCGTTAAAGCGTTAGGCATACATGACTCGCATTTTTCACTCCTGATCCAAGCACCCACTGAGAACAACATCGGTGTTTGCTAACAGAGACACTTGAGTTTTACATGAAGAAGTTCTAGAATGTTACTCACTATTGACCACAGGTAGATTTACCAATTTGGCAATATCGGATTCGCGGCCTCGATTCTTTCCTCCCGTCCTTCAATAATAGGATTGTAATGACCAGAGTAATCATCTTGTACATTGATATGTATGTAGGTAGTTAATGTATTTAATTAGAGTAATTTACACCAAGTCATCAAGGTACATTGATAGATACAAGGATGGCGGAAAGATATCCTAATAGAGACTAGTGCGCTCCAGGAGGTATAAGTGGCACTTGGAATCTTGTTCTTGGGAAGAGCGACGCGATCTTTGAGAGATTGCGTATTCGACACTCTAAAAGGTCCTTTACCTGTCCTCAAGCAACGGCGGTCATGATACAGTCTCAGTCCATTCTGTTGCCGACTCTCAGTCTGTCCAGATCCCAATCTCTGTGAAGGAATTGGCTTGCTACGGCAGCCTTAGGTCGATCATCTCTTTTTCATCTAATCTTACTGTACTGTACTTCCGGAAGGACTGTATGTACGACGTCCAGTGAACAAATCAGAGTGCTCAGGTTACTCTCAGTGCCCAGTGATTGGGCTTATGTTATGTAATGATTAAGTGATCAGTGAGCGATATGATTATGTAATACCCTAGAGCGTGCTCAGTTTTACCCAATGATCAAAAGGCGGCAAGGGATGAGCACGAAAGGGGAAGCCATGTTGCACGATCGACACGCTACTATATAAACTTCTTAACATGCCCCAAATATGCAGTCAATAGATATTTCCAGCTTTTCATTGTAACATATTTAATTGACATCCATCTTGCGAGGGTTCTCTAAATAACTACCGCGTAGCATTGAGTAACAGTGACCCAGGCCCAATAAGGAAGGTGAGCTAGTGCCCAGGTGGACGCCAAGCATACTCTTGTTACTACGATTTGTTTATTTAGATAGCATCCATGGATCCATGGATGGTTATATGCGGATGTTGTTAGCGAATGTATGGTATGTCATAGAATATATTCATTGCAAATCGCTTTGGGTTTCAGCCTCTTGACCAGGGTACTATGTATGACCCCTCTCACTTTGAGGAAAGTATTAGTTAGTTAGTTAATTATTTGGTCTGATACCTTCCATTTAGATCAAATATTCCTCTAATGGGATTGTAATCTGGTGGTAAGGGCGGACAATAGACAAATCTCACTCCTGCTTCATAATATCTATCGAACCATCTTAAACTTCGCGAGGTTAATATATTACCATGTTCCTGAAGTCTCTCGTTGGGCTGACAAGGGTATGATCTTTGGAATGCGAGGTCTATCCATAGATGAATTGGGCTTAGTCTACATGATAATAGTAAATGTAGGATGAATGCCCTATGTATTCCCTTCGGAGCCTTGGCCTTGTAGTGTATTTCTTCCTCTATTGGTGGTGAAATGGTGAAACTAGTGACATCACCAGTTTTAGCCGACTAGAAAGACAGAGATGACTTGGTCATCAGATACGAAGACCTCCGGAGTGCATCAAAAGTAACTAGGATTCCTTATTATCCCTCAATGTATGCGGTAAGGGGTATGTGGCACGATCTCTGTGCCCGATGAGAAATTCCTGCCAAACTGACAATTCTAATCTTTTACAATATTGTACAGTGAAGTTGTTCCGACTTATTGTCGATCACTCTTGAAAGACTAAAGATGTTGTGTTAGTGATACATATATATATACCTAGGAAGTATGCCCGACTTGGGGAATCTGTCATTAGGTTGATATAGACATGGATACATAACATATGACACATAAGATATAACTAACTAAGATACATAGATCTACGATTCACATGTTAATAACTGTTTAAATGTGGACAATACTATTAAGAGCGTTCAACAGTTTTCGCCACTTCCTTATCGGAGGTGCGTGGTAGTACGGACCTCCCCGTAACCCTCGTCTGGACTTCTTTCCTGGATCTAATTCCATTCGGGTAAAATTAAAAGGATTCTCTTCTTATTTACCTCCACCAATTTCGTCCTTTCTTCTGTTCCTTTTTTTTTTTTTTCCCCTCGGCTTTTATCAATTCAATTTCGGCTGTGAATCGAGCTGGGTGATCATCGCGGGCAGACTGTCTCACATTTTCCGAAGTGGCATTACCCGCGCCCGTTGCACCCCTTGTCAACAACAGCCCCGCGAATCCTCTCCCACCAACAACCCACCTCGATCTGGCGCAAGCGCACCCTTGAATTTTGAGCCAGCCTTGCTCTTTGCCCCTCGTCGGACCTACCATCATGGATGGGGACGAGCTGATCGCCTCGGTCTTCCGCAAGATCGAGCGGGAGAAGGCCCTCATCACCGCTGCCAGTAACATGCGGCAGTCGACCGACAATCCCCTCGTGCAACAGAGAGTCGATGCCAACATCCGCGATGGCCGCAAGAATATCGCTTACCTGGAGGAGAAAATGAGAGAATTACAAATCCGTCAGATGAACCAGGAAGGTGGCTCACCCGGTCAGCGTGGAGGCCCGGCCCTCCCCCCCCAAAGACCACCCCGGATACGCTGGCGAGCAAGGTGATGGTCACTATCCCCAGGGTGGCGCCGGCTCCATGCCTTCCGGTGCCCCATTCGCCGACCCCCGACCTTATGCTCCGATCCCGAAGGCAAGGCCCAATTACACGAAGCTTGGTACGTCCTTGGATCCCGCTCCTGCCTAGCCCTCCCAAAAAAAAAACATACCGCGCTGCGCTTAAATCGCTTGGAATGCTAATATGAATGGCTATGTTTTAGATCTGATCAAGTATGACACTCCGTACCTCGGGCCGAAGATCCAACTTATGCTGTCTCAATTGGAGTTCAAGCTGAGTGTGGAAATGCAATATAAAGCCGGCATCGAAAAGATGGTCCGCTTGTACCAGGACGAGGGCGACCGGAAGAGCCGAGCTGACGCTGAGGGTCGTCGCATTGAGAGTAACCAAAAGATTCAGCTTCTAAAGCAGGCGCTGAAGCGATACGAGGATCTTCATGTTGATATTGAATCCGCCGATGCACCAGACGGTATGAAAAACATGGCAATTCGTCTGCGAGCATAATGCGACATGAGTACTAACTAGTGTGCAGATGAAAGTCTTAGTGCTCCGAACATGCGCAAGCCGCTGACGGGTCTGCTGACAATGCGCATCCATGCGGTTAAGGACGTGGACCATGCGGCTAGTTCACGATTCTCTCGAGGACCAGAGACATACATTGTCGTCAAGGTCGAAGACACCATCAAAGCGAGAACCAAGGCCACCCGAAACGATAAATGGCTAGATGAAAGCTTTTCCATGGATATCGATAAGGCAAACGAGATCGAATTGACGGTGTATGACAAGTCGGGAGATCGCCCAGTGCCAATCGGTATGCTTTGGGTGCGCATTTCTGATATAGCAGAGGAAATGCGTCGCAAGAAGATCGAGACGGAGCTCAACGCATCTGGCTGGGTATCCGCAGATAAGATGGGCGATGGTGGATCCCCTCGACATGACCAAGCCGGTTCTCCTATGGGCTCTTCACATGGCCCTAGCTCCGGAGGACGCCCGGGCACCTCGGGACATGGCGCACATGGACACCACGGTGGCGAGAGCTCAAATGCTCCCCGAGTGTGACGATCGATTCATGGTTTGCCTTAGAACCGGTTGGCCGAGTTCAGCTTCAAATGAGCTTCGGTAAGACTAACTTTCATTAGCCCCAAAAGAAGCATCATGTACTGACTGGATATAGCCAAACAATTGAAGGACCGCCGTCCCTTTGACATTGGTCTTAACCGTCAAGGTGCCGTTCGTCAAAAGAAGGAGGAGGTTCACGAGAAGCAGGGCCACAAGTTCGTCACCCAGCAGTTTTACAACATCATGCGCTGTGCACTGTGTGGAGAATTCCTCAAGTATGCTGCTGGCATGCAATGTGCGGATTGCAAATACACCTGCCACCGCAAGTGTTACCCCAAGGTTGTCACCAAGTGTATCAGCAAAGCGAACTACGAGACCGATCCGGACGAGGAGAAAATCAACCACCGCATTCCTCACCGATTCGAAGGCTTTTCCAACATCTCCGCGAACTGGTGCTGCCACTGCGGTTATCTGCTTCCGTTCGGACGCAAAAATGCCAAACGCTGCTCTGGTAGGCACATTACTGACATCGCAGCTTCTTGATAGTCCATACTGACCTCTTTTATAGAATGTAGTCTTACGTGTCACGCTCAATGCACTCACCTTGTGCCCGATTTCTGTGGAATGACGATGGAAGCCGCCAACCAAATTCTAGAGACGTTGATTCGCACCAAGCATCACAACAAGTCTGCCTCTGTTAGTTCTGGCCTCAGCAACCGTACCCTTCGAGCAGGCGGTCCGCCCCAGCCCGCTCAAGACAACGCTGCCCTCTCCTACCCCCAGAAGCCGATGGAAGGACCCTACGGGGTTATTCCTAGACAACCCTCCGCAGAAGCGGTAAGCGCTGCCACTAACTCCTTCATGACTCCACAGTCACCAACTGCTGTTGCACAGGCTGCGCAGCGCCAACATGTGCCACCGAAATCGCCCACAGGGCCTTCCGCCGCCGCTGCCGCCGCCGCTGCCGCCGCCGGGCTACGTGGCCCCCAGCAACCCCCAAGTATGCACTTCTGATCATGCGTTGAAGAGAGACTCTTGATACTAATCAAATCTTAGCCGAAATGGGCCGTCCCATGCCGCCACCCCAGGCACCTCCGCAGCCTCAACACGCCCATTATGACCCATCCGCTTATGCCAATTTCCCGCAGCAGCCTCCACCCCAAGCTATGCAAAAGGTGCAGCCTGCGGCTTATCCAATGGCGCCACCTCCGCAGCCCATCCAGCAACAGATTCCCCAACAACAGCAGGTTTCATCCCCTATCAAGGAGGACCCTGCAGCGCAGGCAAAGGCTCGCATTGGATTGGATCATTTCAATTTCCTTGCTGTTCTTGGAAAAGGTAATTTCGGAAAGGTCATGTTGGCTGAAACAAAGAGCTCCCGCAAGTTGTACGCCATCAAGGTGTTGAAGAAGGAATTCATTATCGAGAACGATGAAGTGGAGAGCACCAAGTCCGAGAAGCGAGTTTTCCTGATCGCGAACAAGGAACGTCACCCATTCCTTCTCAACTTGCACGCTTGTTTCCAAACCGAAACTCGTGTCTATTTCGTCATGGAGTATATTAGTGGTGGTGATCTCATGTTGCACATTCAGCGTGGCCAATTCGGCCTCAAGAGGGCACAGTAAGTCCTATGCCTAACTAAGCCTTTGCCCTGTTTTGGCGGTTGGAAATGCTCACATATTTTAGATTCTATGCCGCCGAGGTCTGCTTGGCACTCAAGTACTTCCACGAGAACGGTGTCATCTACCGTGATTTGAAGCTCGATAACATTTTGCTGACCATGGATGGTCACATCAAAATTGCTGATTATGGTCTTTGCAAGGAGAACATGTGGTATGGTGGTACAACAAGCACGTTCTGTGGTACCCCTGAATTCATGGGTCCAGAAGTAAGTGGGATCAAGTTTGATTGTGTGTTTTTGAAGTACCAATGAGTTAACTTTTTGTCGTAGATTTTGTTAGACAAGAAGTATGGACGGGCCGTGGACTGGTGGGCATTCGGTGTTCTCATCTACCAGATGCTTCTGCAACAGTCTCCGTTCCGTGGTGAAGATGAGGATGAAATCTACGATGCCATTCTTGCCGACGAGCCTCTCTACCCCATTCACATGCCTCGCGACTCCGTGTCGATTCTCCAGAAGCTGTTGACTCGTGAGCCCGAGTTGCGTCTGGGCTCCGGTCCCACCGATGCCCAAGAAGTGATGTCTCATGCCTTCTTCCGCAACATCAACTGGGATGACATCTACCACAAGCGGGTCCCCCGCCATTCATCCCCACAATCAGCAGTCCTACCGATACCAGCAATTTCGACCAGGAGTTCACCAGTGTGACTCCAGTCCTGACGCCTGTGCAATCTGGTAAGATATTTTTGGCTTTTTCTTTTGTTGTGTGCTTGCTGGGAGATGAACTGTAACTAACCGATACTTATTTAGTGCTCTCGCAAGCCATGCAGGAAGAATTCCGTGGATTCTCCTACACTGCTGACTTTGCTTGATTCCACCGATGTGTGATCGGGATAATTATCGCTTGCTTGGACACCTGTCACGAGTTGTTGACGAGGGTGTCAATTCGGTTCATAGGGAGTTTAATGCCGACACGTCTGGTTTCTTCAGGGCGCCGCGGGTCTCTCGCCCTTTCCAGCACTTCTTGCCATTCAAATTGCTTCAACATACCCAAGCGCAGTTTCATTTTAAGTGCCGGTGTGGACCGGACCTCACTGACATGCTTCGACCGCCGGATACCCTGGTTAATGAAACCTCCAGGTTGCTTTTGCTTTCTCGATTCCTTTGTGTGCTTATCTAAATTGCTTGTTCTTTCCCCCCACCCTTTGGGTTGTTTTTTTCTTTGCTTTTTCCAAGCTTTCCTTCCGACTGGTCGGGTTTATGACTCTATTCTATGTCGGGCATTTGATGTCCAAAAAGGGGAGGAGACAGATTCCTATATGGGAATTGTCGTGTGAAGTGGTTCCAGGTTGATGAGAGTTTGATGAGAAATGACGAAGTTTGAAGATCCATGAAGATAGCGTAGGTCCCTTCAGGGACTCGTGCGCGTTATGTCCAGTGTTATGTTCTAGCGGTTCGTGGTATGGAGAGAAGGAGATACAAATACGAACTAATATATCCCATCTGTCTATGTATTTGTAGTTTGGATCATGCATGTCCATGAGTGTATACGGAGTATCAAGTTCTGGGATGCAACTGCCCTCGTTCTTTCCAAGCCGAGGGCTCAAGTACCTCGTTCCTTCCCAAATAGGAAGCCAAACTGTCTGTTGTCTGTACCTTCCTTCTCTTGCGTTCCTTCCTCTTGCAAAAGGACGTACACCTTTCTTTTGTTTACCTTTGTGTCCTCACCTGTTATTCTCTTCTTCTCTTCCTCTCTTCTTTTCCATATCTTTATGACTCTGTCCAGCCTCTTTTCTTTGTTCCAGAAATAGACCAGGTTAGCGAGGTCTATGTCAAAGATGCTGCAAAAGATTAAACGTCTGTTTCGTCGGAGCGTTCGGGCCTTGAGTAGAACCGCCGAGACGGTGCCTTCGGGCAACAAAGATAACCTGCCCTCGGGAAACAAAGAACCCTCGCCCCCAGTCAACAAAGAACACACCCCCCAGGCCACCCAAAGATTGGGCCAACCGCCGTTGAGCTCCCATTACATCGAGAGATGACTTGAGAACGTGACTCCTCCTGTTTATGGGCCTCTCACCAACAGGGTGCGACCCGAAGTCGACAATATCGACTTCCACATCGGCTTCTCTAAAATTTCGGAATCAGGTTCCCCTCCACCCTAGTTCAACGAGACTTGGGACAACGATCCCGAGATCCGTCGTTTCCTGTGTGAGGACGAAGCTCCCACGACACTCACTCACGTCCTTCTCCCTCTCCTGCTACCCCGGTCCTGTCACAACCGGCGGTTGCAGCCCCTCCCTTCGATCGTCCTGAAAAGCCGCCAAACTCCTCATCGCTGAACACTATGTCTGACACGGTTACTCAGTTTAGAGAACAAGGTCAAATTGTAAGTTTTTTCTTCATCATAGCTTATCATCTCAATTTGGCCTCAGTAATCTCTCTCGTGTCACTCCTTGCATTTTACTGACTTCATACCAGGTGACCACAGTTGAAAAACGGGCTTTCTCCCCCAATGACACGGAGCCTGAGCACCTGGTTAAGCGATTTAAACTCGAGTCGGAGGGCTCTGTAACAGAACACAAGCTGTCCGTGGATACCAACATCAGTGAGGATAACAAATGGGACTCCGATCCACCCACCTCGCCTGAATACAAGATTGTCAGTGCGAGCGATGGGGATGGCAGCGATACCAGTGACTCTCCTTCCTCACCATCCGCAAAGCGAGCGAGGGGGGATGCTTTGCATCCCTCGTCCAAGGACGGCCTCTCGCTTAAGCCCACGGCCAAAAAGGCCAATAAGAAGAAGACGAAGACGAAGAAGAAGAAAGCGGACTCGGATTGGTCAATGTCTGAGCCAAGTGACCGTGACGACGAAAGTGAGGAAGAATACTTCATTCCGGCAGCAGAGCGGGATGACGAGCTGCTCAACAATAGACTGACCCGAGAAAGGGCAAAGCGCCTACTTGACGCAGTGGAACTCCCCCAAGGCCACGACCTATCACCAGACGAACAGCGGACGGCCCATCAACTTCTTACTCGTGGCTGCATGCCAACCATTCACAGACACTGGGAGAAAGATTTCTCCACCCTTCCAGAGTCGCTGTTCTTTTCTGGGAAGGATGATGAAACCCCACGTAACGAATCCCATTTTGTCCTTGAGAACGATAAGTGTTCGGAGTTTTATGCGATCCGCGCATTTCAAGAGATTTTAAAGATATGCGGCAATGTGAGGGACTACTGCAATATTCTTGACATTGGTCCTGGAATCTACATCAAGAAGTCAATAGAGAAATATCTGCGCTGGGCATTGAGCGATGCTGGTGTCAGAGTCCAGCCGGACACACCCCCTGTGCATATTATCTATTGCCAAAATGAGGACGAAGAGCCCAAAGAAACCTTTAACAAAGTCGCCAGAGCATTGGAGAAGCTATCGAACACCTGGCAGAGCCTACTTGCTACACTCAATGATAGCGAAGCAGCCTGGCCGGCTTTGATGGGGCTCGTTCTCTGTGGACCTGTTCTTTCTGTTATCTCTCTAGACACCAATCCCAATCCCCAAACCCTAACACAAGGAATCAAGTTCCTTGGTCATTTCGACCTTTCGGATTTCGATAATGACGTCTGGAACACCCTGGCTGTCGCAATTATCGTTATGCACATCAAAAGGACCGTGGCAAAACTCGCGAAAGCTTACGATCAAAAGTTTGTGGCCTCAATCTTTGATGGCCCTGCCATGGGTTCTCCGGATCCTGATCGTTAATTTTTGCTGTGTTGCCCAACATCGATGAGATCCCCTGGCTGCAATCATTCTTATGCATGCCACAAGAAACTTTACAACTCTATATCAAATAAACCAAGGGAAACGATATCCCCTGGTCTTCCATGATTCACCTGCACATAATTCACCCGCAATTGAGAGACTGAGTGTAATTAGACATGATACTCCCTGCCATAATTATGTCAAGGTTGATATGCATTTCCGGGAAATTTTTGAACCCTCATTGACAATTTAGCGTGTGAACTTTGAGCCATGTACAGGTAGTTCATTGGATGACATGCTACAACTTTTTCCTATGAAGCAACAATAGTCTCTTGTCTTCTTAGACGCTTTTTCCCCCATATTTCCCCTTATTCATGTTGTAGTTAGAAGTTAGAACATAGGCTGTGAAAACGGCTTAAAATGTGCAAAACGGATTTTCTACAACATTGTATGTATAGTTAACCTTTGATAATGCCCATGTATATCAGTGGAGTTCATTCATACGTGAAGCAACTATTGCCAATGGATGTGTCGCGATCAATACAAGGATTGATTTGTTCGTCACATCTCCACTTTTGCTGGATACATGTTTCCCCCATTTTTCAATGATCTTTAAAACATCCTTGTCATTGTATTTCAATGAACTCAATCTAAAATAAATAAATAGAGTGTGTTGGTGGGAATCCGGAGAAGCTCCCAACGCCCTAAAAAAGAAAAAAGAAAAAAGTCCAACGATGATCTCCGAAGACCAGGGGGCCACAGAGTCTTCCCCATTGCTACGCAACATCGACCCAGAAGCAGCAAACAATTCCAAAAAGTCAGGATGGCGACAAGAATTAGCAATCATCTCGCGATACTCGGCCCCTCTCATGATATCGCTCCTGCTTCAACATGCATTGACCGGTTCTAGCATCTTCATGGTGGGCCATCTGGGCAAACGCGAAATCGGGGCCGTGAGCTTGGCCAACATGACTGCCCAGATTACTGGATATTTCGTCTTCCAAGGACTAGCAACATGTTTGGATACTTTATGTCCTCAGGCATATGGTTCAGGGAATCTGCCCCTGGTCGGGCTTCATGTTCAACGTCTGACGCTTTTCATGCTCGTCCTCACAATCCCAATTGGAGTTATATGGTGGAACGCAGATCAAATATTTCTCCTCGTTCTACCGTCTGAATCCCAGGAGACGGCTCTTCTTGCAGGATTGTACCTGAAAATTGCCATCGCGGGCGCTCCCGGCTATGCGTGCTTTGAGTCCGGAAAGCGATTTTTCCAGGCACAGGGATTGTTCAGTGCTAGTCTAGTAGTTCTGGTGATATGTTCTACTCTGAATATTTTCATGGGATGGTTATTTGTTTGGGTATGTTATTTGACCTTAGAACTCTCCGGAGCCATTCACTGATATCCTCTTTTCCAGAGACTGCAATGGGGCTTCGTCGGTGCGCCTATCGCCGTTGCGGTCGCAAACAGTCTTCTGCCCGTCTTTCTGGCATTCTACGTCATCTTCATCAAGGGTTCTGAATGCTGGCACCCCATTTCTGCCGAGGTGTGGCGCGGCTGGGGTCCAATGTTGCAGCTTGCCATCCCGAGTTGGCTAATGATCGAAGCCGAGGTCCTTGCATGGGAAATCATGACACTCATTTCGTCCCGGCTAGGTGAGACCGAGCTCGCAGCCCAGGCTGCTATTTCGACACTTTCGGACTTTGCATTCCAGGTTTCGTTTTCCATTGCTGTTGCGGGTGGTACACACATCGCCTATCTGATTGGAGCGGGCTTCCTCCAGCGTGCCGCAACAGCAGCCAGAGTTATGGTTATTGCTGCTTTCGGGGCTGGTATATCAAATATGCTTGTGATTCTTGCTCTTCGGAGTGTCATTCCTGGCTTGTTTAGTGATATCGGCGAGGTATGGCATTACATCTTCTTCTTGCTTCCATTGGGTGCTGTACTTCAGATTCCAGACGCCGTGGCTACTTCCCTAAATAGCTTGCTGCGGGCCGTGGGACGGCCGGATCTGGGTAGTTATGTTCAGCTCTCGATCTATTACCTCGTGGGATTGCCTTTGGGCATTGCTTTTGCATTTGGTCTGCACTGGAGCATTTTCGGGCTATGGTGTGGAATCTTTATCGGCCAGTCGATCATTGTGTCGATCGAGGGCTTTTATTTCTGGAAAATGGTGGACTGGGCGAAGGCATCCCGAGAAGCGGTAGAGCGAATGTGATCATAAAAAGAGCTTCTCAAGGTTGAGCGACGGGTGGAACAGCGAAGGCCACAAAATATATCATATCATGTATGACGAATATAAATTACATATTTTTCCCTTTCTTGTCTGCTTGTACATAGTAGATCTACAAAGGAATCCATACAGGTAAAGAGTATCAGAAATCTATCTAAGAAGACATCTAGTGAACGAAATAGTGAACTTTTATATACTTAGACGTCACATGACCGGTCCCGCTGTTGACGCTATTCCCAACACTGTAATCTTCAAGACGCACTGCATCACCCATTCCACCATGGATGCCGCTGAGGATAAAGACGTGAAGCTTCAACGGGCCTCTGGGGATTTGGTGTCCGAATTTTCCGCAAAGCTGCCCTCGTTATTGTGGAGAGTCCAAACTGGCACTCCCCTCCGCACCCCACGTAAATGGGCGCAGGTCACCAAAACAGAGAAGCTTGTCAGCCTTGTAAGACCACACTACATAGTTCTCTGTCTTGACTATTTTTCTGTTCTTTTTTACTAATATTACACTACAGCTTGAACCCTTCCAAGAGTGGCCTCAACTCTTAGATCCACATTTGCAGACATTGCTGCCTCCTTTAGTCGATGCTTTTCTAGCATATCTAATCAAGCATCGCACCCAGTATGCCTCAGTTTCGGCGAAGTCATCACAGGGAGGAGATCAGTATCCCCTACCAAGAGCCATCTGCAGGCTGCTTTACACTTTCTGCAAAGTCCGTGGTGTTAAAGTGATTAGCAGGTTCTTAAACAATGAGCCGAAATATCTTGATTCAATGCTTCGGGCCTTCATCGAATGGGATGCGGTCCAGTCATCCTATTCCGAGGAACTGGTTGAATCTGAAACCCAGCGACTCATCTGGGAAGAACGATATGTGATGCTGGTCTGGCTTTCACATCTTCTGCTTGCTCCATTTGATTTGTCTTCTTTATCCTCAGATAATATCCCGGTACCCTACGACAATCTGCAACAATTGACTTGGTTGCCATCTGAGACTCCTATGATTGCCAGGTCTCTTCTTTCCTTGTCGTTGCACTATATT